CAAGAGCTCAGCTGTCACTCTAGTCCATGTGAATTGCTTGCTTGGGGAGGCAGCAGACACTCATCTTCAAGGGAAATGTGCTTTTATATCTCATAGCTGCTGTAACTCCGCTTGCTCCCACAGGCTTCCAGGGGTAGTAATTCTTAATTTCATGGGTAGCAGCCTTTTAGGTCTACATGGCAATAAAGGCTGCTCTTCCCCACCAGCATATAAACGCCTTCCTTTGCCTGCAGCTCTGCTGGCTTGAGACAGGAACAACATCGAGTTCATGGAAACTCTTACTCTGTTCTCTGATGGAAACACTCTCCCACTTAAATCAGGACCTCCACCCTAGCAGAGCCTGAATTCACAGTGGTAAGGAGCACAAGTCCCAAAACCAGTTCATTAAAAGTGATGGTGGAAAGTAGCATTCCTTTTCCCATCCTTTTTTTCCCCAAGGTGCATGAATCCAAATTCCCATCCTTATTTGATTGCCAAAGTGGCCACAATTCTGCTTTCCTCCCTTTACACTTTGCTATGTTACTTGGAAGTGCCTTCCATCAAGAGGTAGATTCTTGGGGCTGGGGATTTAGCTCAGGGGCATAAGCGCCTGCCTTGCAAGCGTGTGGTTGTGAGTTTGATCCCTGGTACCGGTAAAAAAAAAAAGAGGCAGATTCTTTCTTCACCCTTTGAACCAGATCGGTCTTGTGACTCATAGTGGCCAACAGAACACAGTGGAGTGAGGGTGTTTGAGACCTAACCTAATAGACCTTAACCTACTGCATGCTAACCCTAAACCTGAGGAGGTCTTCCCTCACTTTCCCCCTGCTCTGTCTCCTTGCTATTCCACTCTTCCCTACCTTTCTTCTCCGCTCTACCTCTCCCCCTTCTGTTATTTCTCCCTTTCACTAACTTTACTTCTCTCCCCTAAATCTGCCTCCACCACAAGCCAAGACCCTCCTACTGGAAGATGAGGCACCAGACACGCACAGCCAACCTGTCTGTAGCCATCTAGTGCAGTGAACACCAAACAGACCCCTTAGTGAGCTTCAGACATCTGCTGAGACTAACCACGACCAGAAGAGCTCCTCAACTGCATCTAGCCCAAATTTCTTACTCCTCATTGTGAGGTAAATATTTAGTGTTTTAAGCCACTAGTTTTGCAGTAATTTGTTATACAGGGGGAAAACTACCTGTACACACTCTTTTGGCAGCTAAGTCCATACTGTACAGAGATGAGGACATGTCATCACAAACTGCCCATTCTTTCATGCTTTATCCTGCAGCAGACTGTCCTCAAACTCTTTGGTGTTCACTCTGAGCCTACAGATTCACCAGGCCCATAAGGGGCCATTCCACTGTCATTAGGCTGGTGCTTCTGGGGATGGCACACATGGCAAGAATGGCACATCTGGACAATATGCCATTGTCTCACCTCTGTTGCCACAGAATGGATTTTTAATCACAGCACAATCAGGCATTAGGGTGTCACTGCTAATAGAATGCTTCAATTAGAGGAGACACACCTGTATTTTGAGAATTGGTCCGTTCTACTGAGGAAGAAATACTTCCAATTAGGAAGAGGGTTTTTTTTGGGGGGGGGGGTTAATGTTCATTGTTTGGGAACTTCTTGGGAGACAGTGAGGAAGAGGTGTCATAGGTGTCATAATCCTTGCTGGAAGCCTGTGAACAACCTCTATGTCTCTCAATTTCTTGAATCTCTCTGGAGAACTTTTTGCCAGTTCATTATCCGTATGGCTGCAATTGGGAAACCCACAAGAGGGTGAAGTAATTATTCCTGAAGTAGAAAGAGCTTTGCGACAAAGATTAAGTCTCAGGGGCTGTAGAGATTCTTTTAAATTTTAAGGCTTTCACTGCTCCAGGTGTATCCTGCTCAGGAATCATCCTGCAGAAAGGGTGATATCCTCCCATGTTTTTTGTTACTTCTAAGTAAGACCTGGAAGCTAAACTCCCTGCACAGAAGGCTCTGTGACCAGCACCAGTAAGTTCATGGGAGGCAAGCAGTTTGAAAAGATGTCAGAAAGTAGCCTGTTAAGTAAGATACGGTTGGGTTCCCCTGGATGCCACAAGTGTCACCACCTAACACGAAGCAGGTAACTGATAATTACTTGTAGATCTAATTTGACTGATGGGTGTTCCCTTCTCTAAAGTTGTGAGATTCCTGAGGTAGTAGTGACTTAGTGAAAGGTGGGGTAGACTTCAAATAAAGAAATTTTAATTCAAGTCCAGACACTGCTTAACTCAGTGTCTACATAGTGTGATCATTTGATGTACATTTCAGGGTTGTGCAGAGTAAGGAACTATGAAGACAGTTTCTATCTTAGTAAGACAGAAGCAACAGAGAATGTCAAGAAGATCAGAACAGAAAGAAGAGGAGCAGGGTAGGGAAGAAAAGTGGGCTTGAGGCTGAGGTGACATTACCAACTTTGCCCCCCTTATGGAAGGGCTGGATGCTAGTTACATGTGTCCTCCTGAAATGCCCTTTAGACTTCCCAATCAGCGCTCATCATAAGAGAACAAAGGTGAAGCAGCCAGCAAGGTGTGATGGGCTTTTGATCACAGCACATTTTTCCGTTCTATCTTAGTAGGGTTTTAAATTTTATTGCACTGAGTTCACTCAGATGATTTCATGTACTTCTTGTTTTATCACATTTCCATCAGCAAAATCATTTTGGCTTATGGAAAATTGAGTGAAAGGTGTTTGTAATGTCACCACCACTGCTACCACTTGCACGCATTGACATGGGTGAATAAACATCATGATTTTGCACCAGAGGACTCTAAACAGAAAGTAAGGCAAGTGGTGACAGCAGATGTGAGATGTGGAGGTAGAAGATGGCACAAGAGGGGCCTTCCAGGGAGGGCTTTCCAATCTGAATTTCTTCCGCCTCCTGCAAAGATCACCACTGCCTTCCCCGGCCTCGCTCCCACTCAGCCTCACGCAGTGAAAGCGTGGGCGACAGAGCCACTGCAGCTCCTTCAGTGCCACTCCACACTCGTCCTTCCTCTTGGTGTGGGTGGAGAACAATAAAGTCATGCGTAGTTCTGTCTCACATTCTCAGGCATCCAGCTCATTCCACCCTCAAAATCAGTCTGATTTCATGAGTAAATATAAATAATTGTTTATAAAACTGATTTTCCCTAGTCAAAGAAGAATAAGATTTGTGTCTATATTCTCCAAACTATTACAAGCAGGAAGGAGTCATGAAAACAAAACAACTGTAAAAGATAAGGCTTAGAGTAAAGGTTACTACAAAATACTGAGGGCCCATATTTATATCTAGTAATATTAAAAAGCTATCTGTATTTTTAATAAATATATTCATTCATTCAACAAATACACACTCAATATTCCAGATGCTGTCTTACACATGCAGTAGCTTTTTAAAAAGACAAATTACCCTCTGTTAGGCACTTCACTTTTTTCTGATGCAGAGCAGAAACAAATAAAATTGAAGTGTGGACAAGAAAATTTCCGATAATGATGAGTGATACATAGGCAAAAAGAGAACAATGGTATAAAGAATGGCTTGAGGGAGGTTTTAAATTGTGTGGACAGAGAATTTAAAAAGAAGAAAAGTCATATAGACATAAAATTTCAATGCTTGTAGAAAATTCTAAGGGTGAGAAATTGATCACAGTAAAACATAAGGCTAAAGAGATTATGAAGAGCCTTGTATGCCATGATGAAGAATTTGGAATTCGAGTTTAAGAGAATTAAAAACATTGGAATATTTTTTGGAAGAAAGTGGGGAAATTCTTGTTTTAGATGGATAATTCTTTGGGATGCAAGATGGGATGATTACAAGAAAGACCATGTGGAGGGAGAAAGCTGGGTTTATTGTAATTTCCCAGATGAGGAAGCGTGAGCACCTGCCCAGATTACCCAGGCCATGGAGGGGGCTGGTTTCAGTGTGGGCCTCCCCCGCAGCCCACACTCACTGGCGTCTCTTCTCCTCCTTACGGTCTTCTGTTCTGATACCACCTCCTAGGGTTATGTAAATCCCTACTTACTTATTATTTTCAGTGAACACGTATTTTTCCTCCTAAGCTAATTCTAAAATTTATCACTTCAAGAACTCTTACTTTGTGCTTTTACAGTGCCAAAAATGGAGTAATCAAACTAATGACATCTCATATATATGAACCACTTCCTTTCAGTTATAGTTAAAATATTACAAAAACATTGAAAATCTGAAATCTGATATTGTCTCAACACAATCTTTATCATGTATTGTCCTGGAGTCTTACATGCATGTGTAACAGCATTTCGTATAACATATTTGTATTTTTTTTTTAATGACAGGGACTCTATATAGTTCAGGCTGGCTTTGAACTCACTATGTAACCCAAGCTGGCTTTGAATTTTCAGTGATCCTCTTGCCTCAGCCTCCTGAGTACTGGGATTAAAGGCACAAATGTTATTCTGGTGTTCACAGTTCATGTAAACTACTTTGGAGGCTTAACTTTTCACATTTTTCAAGGAAATTTTTATTTTGAATGTTAACCAGATAAGGTAATTTACACTCATACTATGGTAGGTATGACTAGTTCCCAAGCAGGATGGTTCATATGGTGTGGACAAGTATTTGGAAAAACTTCATTTTACTCTCAATGTTGGGATGGAGCTTCTTAGTGTATGAGACTCATGGATGTATTCCATAGACAGCAGACAGGTAACTACACACAACACAGAGTATGCGAATGTTGGTGTCAATATCAAGAGCAGAAAAACAATCTCTGCCTACTGAGAAGAGTCAACTGCGGATGACATGAGGTTGCAGTGAGGGAGGAGGGATGTAGATGATTGAGGAGACAGAGAGGTATACCAGCCCCCATGAGGCTGGGAGAGAGCATCAGAGAGGAGACAGGATGGCCTAAAAAAGACCACTCAGCGAACAGTCTAAGACTAGGTGAATATGCAAAACATACCAAGAGAAATTTTATTTAGCAAGAGTATCTTATCACTTTTTCTGAAACTCCATGCAGATATCTAAACAATGGAAAAGGAAAACCAAACCAGTGTCTCTGAATTTCTTCTTCTGGGCTTCTCAAATTGGCTAGGACAGCAGGAACTTCTCTTCATACTTTTCTTGTGTCTTTATTTGACCGGGCTGTTTGGAAACTTACTCATTCTGCTGGTTATTGGCGCAGACCATCGCCTACACACACCTATGTATTTTTTTCTTGCCAATTTGTCCTTTGTTGATCTCTGCCTTGCTTCAGCTACAGTCCCCAAGATGCTAGCAAACATCCAAACCCAGACACAATCCATCTCCTATCCTGGATGCCTGGCTCAGATGTATTTCTGTATGATGTTTGCCAACATGGACAATTTTCTTCTCACGGTGATGGCATATGATCGATATGTAGCCATTTGTCATCCCTTGCATTACTCCACCATTATGACCCAGCGCCTCTGTGCCTCACTGGTGGCCATACCTTGGGTCATTGCAATTTTGAATCCTCTCTTACATACTCTCATGATGGCTCGCCTGCACTTCTGCTCTGACAATGTCATCCACCATTTCTTCTGTGATACCAACTCTCTCCTTCCTCTCTCCTGTTCAAATACCAGTCTGAATCAGTTGATGGTTCTGGCTGTGGTGGGGCTTATCTTTGTGATTCCTTCAATGTGCATCCTGGTATCCTACAGTCGTATCATCTCTGCTGTGATGAAAGTTCCTTCTGTCCAAGGAAAACTCAAGGCTTTCTCCACCTGTGGATCTCATCTTGCCTTGGTTATCCTTTTCTATGGAGCAATCACAGGGGTCTACATGACCCCTTCCTCCAGCCATTCAACTGAAAAAGACTCAGCTGCATCAGTAATTTTCATGATCATAGCTCCTGTGTTGAATCCCTTTATTTACAGCCTCAGAAACAATGAGCTCAAAGAGGCTTTAAAAAAGAGCCTAGGTCACCACAAAATATTTTCCCAATGAGCTTAACAAGAGAAAAACTCTAATGAGATCAGGTTTTATTGTCAATTACAAGACTACTATTAACAACCTAATTAAATTTGTCCAGATTTTGCTACATGTTCTAGAAGTGACACAATCATAGATCTTACCCATTGGAGTCCAAGATTCTATAGATGTAGACAAATATTATCTCAAGTCTCTGAAAAATCAAATATGGTATCAACATTTTAATCACTAAGATACAACTCAAGGCCCAGAATAACATGCAAATATACCAGAGTGCAAACTAGAGTACTTTCCCAGGATTGTACTCTTCATGCATTAAAAAACACTGCAGAATAAAAGCACTATGTTATAAAGGGTTCAAACCATGACCCCACTGTGAAATCAGATGGAGAAGATATGAGATTCAAAAGTCAAGCAAAGCTAGAAGAAAAAGACAGCACTTATTCTGTGCCTTGAGTGTGGATGTTTTCCACGGGAATGAGAATATTCAGAACACAGCAGGAAAACTAATAGTTGAGGAGTGTGATATCATATTAAGGATTGATAAAAGTCAGGATACATTTTTATTCTATTTTGTGTGTATTCATATATTATGTTGTGTACATTTCCTAGAACCTCTCTTCACTCTCTTGTGTAAAAAGCAGAACTTACATGTATGTCTGGATTGTCCTCGGCTATGAAGAATGCCTAAAAAATTTTTGGGGGGTGGGAGGGTTGAGATAGGGTCTCACTATGTAGTCCAGTCTGGCTTGAACTCACAGTAATCTTCCTGCCTCAGTCTCCCTAGTGCTGAGATAACAGGAGGATGCCATCGCACCAACCCTAAAAAGCATGTAATTATCATGTTGATGTTTAAAACTCCATACTTATTTGCTCTGGAACATGCATAGAGTTGTCCATATAAAGAAGCATATCTGTGACTTGATTTGCAGTTTGTATCTGATTTCACTGGGTACACAATGTTCCGGAGAGCCCAGATGGTGTGCTTTTCTGTATGTCACATAGCAATATTCTGTCACATCACCAAAACTATCTCTTTAAACTCTGTGAAAAATATGCTGTTATTTTCATGTGATGTGATGAATGAAAACCAGAAACAGAAGTAAAAAGAGTTGAGGATTTTGTAAAAACATTCATAAGGTTGGAGAACCAGGCTCAAAGGCCTATCCTCAAACCAGAGCCAAAACAACATGTGAAACCATCTGAGGAATTGACTAAAGACACTGTCAACAAACAGTGGGTGTTGCAGCTTGCCCCAATCACTGGATGCCCTTGACTACTAACCTATAAATTCACATTCGTGCCACTGCCACCACCACCAAGAGCTTTTCTAGTGTCTCTAATTCTTCGTAACATCTATGCTAAATTCAAACAGGGAGGCATACATGAGTGGTCACACATGAAACACACATCCTTGCCTGAAAGAGTATGTCCAATTTTTGTCTGCAATAAACAGCAGGGATCTGTGCCTACCAGATTTCTCTTCAGAACTAAAGATATATTTCTATAGTTGCTGGGAATGTTGCTGATTGATAGCGCTCTGACGGCTCTCATTAACTGCTAACGGTAAAAGAAAATATTAATAAAATTTTCTATATTAAATTCAATTTATTCAGCAAAAGAACTCACAACAAAAATAAAAACAAAGTGCCACAATTAGAAGAAAGTGTTTATAACACATAAAACCAATAAAAACATGGTATCTAGACTACATACTCATACAAACCATTAAGAAAAGTTTAAAGAATAGAAAAATGGGCAAAAGATATGAGCAGTTGTATCACAGTAAAGGAACTGCAATAGCAATAAATACTAAACGATGTCCAATCTCTTGGAGCTATATAAAGATAATGCTTTATGCTCGTTCAATTGGAAAAAAATTTAAAAGTCTACCAAACCAACTGTTAAAGAAAGTATAATTAACAGGACTGCGTAAGCACGGATTATGGGAAAATAAACTCTGGAAAACAGTTTGACATTATTTTCCAATGTTTGATTCTTACATACCTTACATTCAATAATTATAATTCTGAAATTCTTGTACATGTACATGAGGATTCATAGAAGCATTGTTTGTAATTTCTGAAAGGTGGAAGTAATCTAAATGCCCATTCATTTGACAAATATTTATTAAGGGTAGATTCATGATAGGGCCCATCCTAAATATTTGCTTATAGCAGTGAACAGACAAGAACCATGATTTTAAAGATCTTATACTGCAGCCAAGGAGACAACATATCGAATAAATTAAATAGTATGTTAGAAAGTGTGATAGAGGGCAGACTATGTAGCTCATGACAGAGCCCTTGCTTAGCATACAGCAGGATCTGGGTCCCGTCTTACAAGCTGGAGTGGGGTGAGGGATAGGGACAGGTGCAAGATAAATATTATTGAGGACATATGACTTGGGCAAAACCTAGAGGGGTAAGAATTAGCCATACTTTGAGCAAACAACCAGAAACATAGTCCTGTGCAATAATATGTCTTACATATTCCAGACCAGAAATTCTATTGGGATGGAGCAGGATGAGCAAGTGGAAAAGATATGTATAATCTTGCACCATATCACACACAGTAAAATTTATGCAGGACTTTACAGGCCATGCAAAGGTCTTTGGTTTTTATCTTTAATGAAATGAGGAACTTGCTGAAGGGTTTTAAACTGAAGGTTTGTGATAGAGCTTATGCTTAAACAGTATCACTGGAGCTGTTCCATTGAGAATAAAATGTGATCAATTAAAGTGAAAGCAAAGGGACCACCGAAACTACTGCAGTAGTCCTGAAGACACATTATGATCTATCAGCCCATCTTTAGAACGATAAATGCAGTGCTGTATTCACAACTGAAATGTTATACAAAGCTGATAATCGTAACTCAACAATGTGAATATATCTTAGTAACATACTGTTACGAGAAAAAAAGCAAACATAGGTTACATAAGGCATGTCGCCTTTTAGGGACAACTAAAGTTAAAATTTGGTCATATATACATACTCAATACAACTATTTTTTTAAAAATCAAGGAAACAATGTACAAACTTTGAAAGTGATTATAAGGAGAGAGGTACAAAGAGACTTGACAAGGAGTAGTAAACGTAAATTATTATCAATCTCTAGTTCTTACAGACTGGGTAACAGGGCCATGCATGCAGCAAGGGTTACCTTTAACCCCTTTTTGTATATTTGACAGTGTAAGGGGACGGACAAAACAGAAATAGGGTGGCTTTGGGGCGCAGTTTTGCAGCAGAGGTGAAGTCTGTTTAACATCCCTGCTATAGGGGCTACAATTTCATCACCTAGAAGTAACGTCGAAGCTGGGGACGTAAGGGGACACAACAGTGTCAAGTATGCTACCAAACGAAAATGAAGACAAAAAGGCGCGTCCACCTTCTGACTTTGAGAACCTCAGGGTTTGGCGCGGTGGACGGGGAAACCGGGTCCTAAGCCTGCAAAGTCTACGGGAAGAACAGGGCTCCCGGAGAAGAGAAACCGCTGTCCCCGCCGGAAGTGTCCGGTTCACCTCTTCAGCCTCCCATCGAAGTGTCCGGCAGGAACCAGCTCCAGGAGGGGTGGAGCCACTCTGTTCACCCACCGGAAGTGTCCGACCGGAATCAGCCCTGTGAGAAAGGTGCGTTTGGGGGTCCAGGTGACCGGGCCTGAGTCCCCCTCCAAACATCCAGGCCTTTTCGTGGTCCCTTCAGGATAGAGCACCCTCGAGCCATCTGACCCCAGTGGCTCAGAAGAGACCAAGAGAAAAGAGGAACTACCTTCGGCGTTGGCCAGCTTCCCCGCCCGAGATCTGGAGTAAGGAGACTTCCAGGAGCGGGTGACGTCATCGCGGTGGGCTGGGGCGGGGCCCGGGGCGGGGCCGCTGGTGTACGGGTGGACTCGGCTGACTGCAGCGGGGCCCTACGGGCCTGTTTCCCGGGATGGGGCTGTTACCTTGCCCTAGCTCCAGTGTGCCCGGGTCACACTGCTGATGTTTCGTGTGTTCTGCGTGCTGGGGTTGCAGTAGAACTTTAGTAATCAAAACATGGACAGAGTTATAAAATTGGAAAGGCACATGAGGAATTACTGGAGCAATAGAAAACCTACTGGACTTTTGGTCAAGGAGCCCGTTACCACTATCTCTATCATCTGGCGCCGAGGAGTAATTCCCTTATTCTGTCATTTAAGAGATTTCCAAGTACTCCTAGTTCTTCATTCTCAATAAATGTAACTATCCTGGTTCCATTTCCTGACGAGGTTTAACTGTAACAATCCAAGTTTGTATTTTCCTCTGCTTGTGTGAGTACAGCGGCCTCCTTTCTTCATTTCGCAATCCATCCTAGAAATGAAAAATACCCTCCTTTATAGAACTTACTCCGCTGGTTATTCTTTCTGCACAGAAACTTTCATTGGCTTCCTCATACCTAAACTAGGAACTCAATAAATTCTAGAACCTGACTCATAGTGCTTTCCACAATCCCTTCTTTTGTAATTCTTATATAAACTTACTGAGCTTTTTGCTTTCCCACTTCCTGTATTCTGACCCTTAGCCAGTTGTCCACACGGTTTATCTGCTTGTAATTTCCCGTTTCTCTCTACCATTTCCTGGTCAAATTTCATCCTTTCTTCAGAATTTCAGTAAGCGTCCCTTGACCAATGCAATCACTATGCAATCCCATCCCATTTTATAAAGCACTTATATCATTTTTCTCTTTAGGCCTTTATTTTCTTTATATAATTTAATCACATTGTTTTGTTAATATTTAGCAATGTTTTTAGGTTTAAATAATTTAAATTTTGTGTTGAAATAAGTTGTGTAATCATATTCTATGAAGCAGGTATTGATGACCAGAGTTTCAAGTGGAATTCAGATTTTAAGCATCAAAGAATTTGTCCTGAAGAACAAATTCACCACTACGGAAAACCTTTAAGAGCCCAAACTTTGTGAAACCTGCAGCAATTTTCAATGGAGAGAAAAGCCATCAGTGTAGTTGTGGAAAAGCATTCAGGCATAGTTCACAACTTGTTAGGCATCAGAGAATCCATACTGGAGAAAAGCCCTATGTATGTAATGAATGTGAGAAAGGCTTTGGAGACAGCTCAGATCTCATTAGACATCAGTGAACTCACACTGGGGAAAGACCTTTCAGATGCAAAGAAGGTGGGAAAACATTTATCCTGAACTCACATCTTGTCCAGCATCAGAGAATTCATACCAGAGAGAAACCCTGTAAATACAGTGAATGTGGGGAAACCTGAGTGAGCACACACCTTATTCGACACCTGAGAACCCACACTGGAGACAAGCCCTATGAATGCAGCAAGTGTGGGAAAGCCTTCAGTCAGAGCTCTTATCTGAGTCAACATCAGAGAATTCACATTCGAGAAAACCTGCTAATGTGAGGAAATTCATGTGGAAATGCTGAGGAAAAAGCAGAATGTGAAAAATGTTAAATAAGAAACACCTTGAGTGAGATGAATGACTAAAAAACCATTAGATGTTTTCTCATTCTTAGGGCTGCTGTTCCATATATGGTCTTCACCTCTGTCAGGCTTTCTGTGAAACTTGGGATTAGTCTGTCACAGACTGCTAAAGTCAAACTAGAAGAACCTAATTAGAGGGAAGACTGTGAAGAGATTAGTCCACAGCAGTGAGGGTGTAGGGAACATAGACTGTCCTGGGAAATAACTGCATGTGAGAAGAAAAGGAAGATTCAGGTAGAGAGACTGATCATCAGCCCTAGTTCATTCTCCTAGTTAATTTGTTCTCCACAGAGAAGGTAGACTAAGCTCAAGAGTAAAAATGTTCCCCTTATGATGCTAGGAATTGAAGCCAGAGTTCCACAAGTGCACTACCACTGAGCTATATCCCCAGGCCAAGTCGTAAAAGGTCTTGCACACTGCCTACAGAACATTCCTCTAAAAAAGGAAGACCACAGAACTAAGTTTGATGGTCACAGGTTCATCATGTCAACTAAGAAAATATACATAATTGTAGCATTCTAATAAGAGGCCAAAAGATCATGCCAGGAAGTAAGCATAATCAGGAAAGTATCCAAAATGAGACCAGACTCCAGAGATTAAGCAAAAACTGGGTTGGTGTGGAGCAGCCCTGTAATCCCAGCACTTAGGACACTGAAGCAGAAGAACTGCCATGACTTTGAGGCTAACCTGGCCTACATGGCAAGTTCAAAGCCAGCCTGAATTGCAGAATGAGACCCTGTTTTGAAAAACAAATTGAGTTGGGGTGAGGAAAGAATTTCAAATTAAATTAAGCCTAATCGTTTGTACGGTGGACACTGTAGTACAACCAGGCTTTGACTGCCTTCCACCGTGTTTTGGTGTCTTGCTGGACTAGGTTGATATAAAGTTTTAGGGAGCTGCCTGAACGAGAAACTTACAGGGTTTTCTGGCTCCTGGCCAACCGTGGAAGAGGGATTAGTCAGTACTCAAATATATTTCATTGCTGTTAGTTGCATTCCTCTTTAGAAAAGACTGAGGGGTACAGTGACAGTATTTGAAAGAGTTTAGAGAGGGATGGGATCTGTAACAGTTGGGAGTTCTACCAGTTTTTTTTTTTTTTTTTTTGGTTTTTTGTTTGTTTGTTTGTTTTGTTTTGTTTTTTTGTCTTTTTGAGACGGGATCTCACTATGCAGTTCAGGCTGGCCTTGAGCTCACGTTGTAGCCCAGGCTGGTCTCGAACTCCCAGCGATCCCCCTTCCTCAGCCTCCCGAGTGCTGGGATTACAAGAGTGAGCTACCACGCCCCGCCTCTACCAGTATTTTAAAGATACAAAAGTAAACTGCTACATTTATCTGTTTGATGAGACACAGTTTCTTTCACTGATGTCAGAATTAAAAGTGATTATATAAGGTTTTAAATATTCCTCATTACCTAATTTTTACATTATAACATTTAAATAGGATCACAATATGAAAAGTCTCTTTTTTCTTTTTTTTGTTGTTGGTGGTGGTGGTCTTTTGGAGACAGGGTTTCACTATGCAGTTCAAGCTGGCCTTGAGCTCACTTTGTAACCCAGGCTGGTCTCAAATTTGCTATGATCCTCCTGCCTTAGCCTCAGGAGTGCTGAGATTACAGGTGTGAGCCACCACGCCCAGTTTGAAAAGTCTTCTCTAATGTGAAAATGTACTAAATCTTCCACTAAGAGATTCTGAAAGAAATACCTTAGCATGTTTCGTTTGTTCTTGTGATACTGGGAATTGAACCCAGGGCTTCACACTGAGCTACCTCCCCTACCCTTTCTATTCTTTGTTTTGAGACAGTCTTGCTAAATTGCCTGGGTGGGACTGGAACTTGGTGATCGGCCTGCCTCAGCCTTTTTCAGTGCAGGGAGTCAGACAGTATTTGTACATTAACTTTGAAGAGAAGGTGGCGAGGGTAAAGGGAAGAGTATCACCCTTTTAGAAGGCTCATGAGGCAGCACTTCACTATCATGGCACGATCCGAAATCAATCCCACAGTGCTGTACCTTCTGGGCCTGCAAGCTTGCTGCCGACCAGCCAAAAGCAGCCCCTGTGCCCTGCATTAGCCACCCAAAGTCTTGTGGCACCTGAGAGCAATGGACCCACAGTTTAACAACCTGGTACTGAGGCCAAGAGTTAGATGTGCACTTCCTGCCTGTATGCTCCCAGAAGGCTTCTCTCTGCCCCCAGGAATGGGATTCTTAAGATGACAGGGACAGCTGTAACTACAGACCCACATCTGCCCAGTGCCCACTCACACCAGCCCCAGGAAATAGTGGAGAAAAGACCTCATCTTTCCCCTGTACTCCTCACTAGGTGCAGCCAATCTGGTGAGGGTCTTGTTCTGTTTGTGAGCATGAGCGCAAAAAGCACAGTTCTGTTATTTACCAGCTGTTAGTGCTACCAGCTCCACAATGAGTTCTTTGCTCTGCGTGAGATGCGGATCACAAAGGGGAGAGCAGTATCTGAAGGAGCTGTCTGGGCTTATGCAGGAGGATCAAGGAAGCAGCAAACAGCATATGGTTCCCACTGTGGTCTCAGAGGATGTGAGAAGTGAAGGTCACAGGATTTTTGCAGATAGGCTGACAGTTCTGCTGTGGATATTGGGGTCTCAGGGAAGGTGCAGGGTTCACACCACAGCCCAGGGGGCAGCAACTATAAGCACAGCTCCAGGCTCTGGGGTTCATATAGTCCCTCACTCACAGGAAGGGTAATGACTCACTGTGGCACAACAGCAGGCTGACATGCAGTCCCCAGCCTACTTGGTGCCCTGGTGGGGAGGACCCACTCAGTCACCCTCATGTAGGACCCAGAAAACAAATAATGATGATATTCTCTAAACAGGAAAGAAACATAAGTGTTATGATGAGTAAATTGGGTTTTTCAAAAACTGTATTACTTATACTAGTAGAACATTTTGTAAAAAAAAATCAAAACTTTATAGAAATTTAGAAATATGACATAGTAAGTATAATATCTGTACTTTTCCCCCAGTTGATAGTCACTGGGGTGCTGGTGATGAGGCCTCGTGGTGGAGTGCTTGCCTGGTATGTATGAGGCTCTGCATTCATCCCCGCACCACAAAAAAAAAAAAACAACAACAACAACAAACTACTGTGACTACATCAGACATTATTATTTACCAAAATGTTGGCCACATAGTATTTGTTAATTTATTTGTATATGAAATGTACCTTTGGCATCTTTTAAATTTTTAAAACAGATTTTATGAAGACACTGAGCTATATCCCCAGCCCTATGTGTAAGCATTTCTAAATGGATGATTTCAAGAAGTTGTATCAAGGGGTGTGGACATACTAATTTTACTGGATCGTTCTTTCTAAAAATGTACAAAAATGTGACTGGATCTTCATACACTCTGGTATCACCCATTGTTTTGTCTTTTGCAACCTGGAAAAAAAGTCTTTATAAAAATTCTTTACTAGGGAGACTTTTCCTATTCATTGTTCTCCTTCTCCTTAATATCTGTGTTCTTTATGTGCCTACTTACATCTTTTGCCAGTTTTCTGTATTGCCTTATTTATGTTTTTAAAGAAATCTGCATATTGGAAAAATCAGCTCTGTGTCTCTAAAATATTGATATATTTTAATTTCACTTGTATTTTGATTTTAATTCAAAATTTTTTACAAAGATATTATCATCTTTTCCTTCAGATTGCTTTGGTTTTGTGTCTTTAGAATATTCTTAAAGCCCCACTGCATGCCAATGAGATAACAGCTTACAACCTGTCTTCCTGCCTCTGCCCTTGTGCAAATCTTTTCACACGCTCCTGTATTTTAACGTAGCACCCAGAAAAATATTTTCAGTACCTAAACGAGAGTACCTCTGCTCAGAAGCCCGAAATGGCTTCTTAGCTTGGAGTAAAATTCAGCAACCCAGAATAGTGCCTCCCAAAGCAAGACGTCAAGAGAAACACATCAAACTAGATCCTGGCGGATATTTACTGACTTTAATAAATTCATGTAAAAGATTGTTTATTTATATTACTTAATAATCAAATAGGAAAAATCTCGAGGAGGTTTTTAAGCATAAAGCCTCGCGATGCCCATTCGGTAGCAGCGCGGCCACGGGAAGTGCCCTCACCGCGGCAGCATAGAGTTTGGCTGCTCCAGGCCTCTGGAGGTCTCCCTAAGTGGGCACCCTGTTCCCAGACATTATTGGCTGAGCGCGACCACCGCCAGCCCAGGACGTCCCATTGACCCCATCTTCGCACACCCTCTGCAGACCTTTGAGTTTAATCTATACATCGCCCTCGGAGAGACAGGCGCGCATCACCTGGCGCTGTGACTCCCAACCGGTTGCTCCCGCTGCATCACCTGGTGGAGCGCAGTCTGATCAGCTCACTGCTCCTGTTTATATACTGTGCTTTCTGACTCCCACTCGTGGCCTGGCTTCATGAGTGTGAGGTCGTGGCTGCTTTTGTCGTTTCTCTATGGTGAAAATTTTATGTGTCTTTGAGGCAAGATCTTCAGCCTCTCCTTTTTTTTTTTTTTTTTTTTTTTTGTCTTTTTGAGATAGGGTCTCACTGTGCAGTTAAGGCTTGCCTTGAGCTCACTTTGTAGCCTAGGCTGGTCTCGAACTCACAAGGATCCTCCTGCCTCAGTCTCCCAAGTGCTGGGATTACAGGTGTGAGCTACCACAGCCAGCATTATCAGCCTCTCCTTCTATCAGTCGCACACAGAAGGCTAACTGCTGAGAAAGCCCAGAATGGCTTCGAGCCCGAAATCAGAAAAAGACTTCTTAAAGTTAGGGCAGTGAGCCTTTCCTGGGACAGGGCCCCAGGGCACAGAAGGGCCGTCCTCACAGGAGGGAAATCAGCTATCAGGACACCCTGGACTCTATGAAGCTTTCACCCAGCCCTGGGCACTCCGCTGCCAAGGGGCAGATTCAAGAGATGCTGGGGCTGGAGCAGTTCTCCAGCAGGACTTGCAAGCACGGGTTGCAGGCACGCCACCCACAGACTGGAGGAGGCAGGGGCTGTGCTGGAAGATCTGGAAACAGAGCTTGATGAACCCCAAAACAGGTGTGATGGGGCAGGCATGTGGCTAACAGTGGCCAGGACCAAGCCAAAACAAAAGGCCTATGAAAAAGTTACCTGAGGGGTTTGGGATTTAGCTCAGTGGCACAAGCACCTTCCTAGCAAGCGTGAGGTTGAGTTCAATCTCCAGTACCAAAAAAATACAAGTACCTGAAAGTACTTAACTTGTGTACACTAGACAACAACGAAGCTGAGGAAGGGAGGTGACTGCCACTGTCAAGTAAGTGAAATGTGGCTGAGTAAAAGACCAGATTGGTTCTGTTTCAGTTTGGGATGCTAGGATCAGTAGGAAGTTACAGGGAACAAACAGGTATCCACCAAAAACGTAGACTTTTCTAACATTCAAAGTTACCAATAAATAATTGAACAACTCCATAAGACACTCCCTTCCCTCAGAAGTACTCAAGTCGCTATGAAGGACATTAAATCAACAGAAATATAAGCTATATATGTTATCTAAATTTTCAACTATCCATAGAGCTAATTTTATTAAAAGTAGTTGGAGCTGGAAATTTAGCTCAGCGGCATAAGCGCCTGCCTTGCAAGCAGGCAGTCGTTGAGTTCGATCCCCGGTACCGGAAAAAAAGGGAAAAGGAAAAAGACAAAAAAAAAAGTAAAAACTGGTCAAATTAAATGTAATTTAACCCAAAACATTTAATCATGTAATTAATATTTAAAATGAGATATTTAGATTTATTCAAGTTTTCAAAATTTTATATGTACACTTAGTCTATGTTAGACTAACCGCATCTCAAGTGCTCAGCTGTATTTGCTTGTTTCCATGTTAAAGAACTAGAGAAATACCCCATTGCTGGAAGTTGGGTACCTTCCAAAATTCCGAGTCATGCCCTTGGGCCTCTGTAGGGTCAACAGAACAGACAGAATTTCTCTCAACTATAGCAACTGGTTCTCCTAATCATTGCTATTATTGCCACAACTGAATGAAAATTTGTCCCCTGGATGTTTTTTATGAAATTCTCTGAGTCTCCCCAAAATCTATCTGACAAGCCCAATCAGACCCCGATGCTCCCAGGTCCTAGCCAGTTCAGGAAAACAGCACACACTCTGGGACAAGGTGGCTACCTTGGGAAGGCCACATGAGTCACTGACTGTCCAACTTCATCCCAGTGAGACCCCACTAGAGCAGGAATATGGGAAGCTACAAAAGAACGCGAAGGAGCTGGTTCTGTATATACGATGAGGAGATGATGTCTCAGGTTAGAAGATATCTTAATCTGTTTTCTCTCACGTATAATATACATCATCACAGGCTGGGTATGTGATAAGGAACAAAGATTTAGTTTTGGCTCACAGTTCTGGTCCAAAGTCTAAGGCTGCATCTACTGATGACTACTTACTGGCAGAGTGCCAAGGAAGTAGAGGGTATCACGTGCCAACAAACAGGAGTATATGTGTTTGCTGGTCTCTCTCCCTCCTGTTCTTATAAAGTCACCAGTATCCAGTCATGGGGACTCCAGAAAAGGCCCCATCTCTAAACACCATGCTCTTGATTAGGTATATACCTTACTATCTCACAGTGAGGATGAATTGCCAATGTGTTTCAGAGGGGACAAACTATATTCAAATAATAGCAGCAGAAAATTTTCTCATTTTTATCTTCTCTTTGTAAAGACTTCCTCTTCTTGTCTTCCGCCTCACTATGGAAAATTTTATCTTTGCACCCTTGTCCCAACACAGAATGAATTACATTTTTCACTGTATATAAGAGGTCTGTTTGGTCCAAAGGGTAGATGATGGGGTTTAAACACTCATTCAAGTTATACCTTATCTTTTGTCTATTGTTATCTAGTAAGTCTAGTTTGAATTCCTTCAAACTTCCAATTTGAGACAGGAGAATTTATGATGCCCTGCATTAGTCAGCTCCAATAAAGGAATACTATAGACCAGATAGCTTAACCAATGGAAACTGATTTGCTCACAGTTCTGGAGGCTGGAAGTCCAAGATCAGGGTCAGTCTCTAATGAGGCCTCTTTCCCAGGCTCGCACTCTGCTCGCTATGCCTTCATATATGGCCCTTTCTTTGTGCCTGTACCTTCCTGGTATCTCTTCCTCTTCTTAACATTCCACTCCTGCAGCATTAGGGCCCCACCTTAGGACTCATTTAACCTTATTTACCTTATTAAAAGCCCACTCTTCAAACACAAGCACATTCAGGGCTAATGCCTCAACTCAGTCTGTAGCAACTCCATGCTGAAAGAAACAGGGAAAAGAGAGCAGGTTTCAGTCAATACAAGAGTGCTGTTTAAGTCTGTACATCAAAATGACTGGGTCTAGTTCTCATCCAAGCTCACTAAATACCAACCAGGTAACTAGTGTGTCTCGGGGCTACACTAAAAATTATGCGGATTTTAAGGCCCAATTGGTTCAGACCTTTTCTGTGCTTCCTGTACTGTCTCCGGAGACTTGTCTATCCATAAATCCCTCTGTCACCTTCCAGACTATCATATATTGTGGCCTACTCTACAGTTTTACTACTTAAACAAGTAGTTTTACTACTTTACCAATACAGCACTCTCATCCCTAGGAGCTCACCTAAGTAATTTGCCTAATATGAAAAATCATTTTGAACTAAAATGTTCCTAGCTGATACATAGAGTGATGTGCAGTTACATCAGAGTTTTAACTCTAGAAGTAAAATGCTGGTCACTACTTGGCTACAGACATGAGTTTAATAATCCTCTTGTTCTGTTCATTCATTCCACTGTGAATATTCATCAAGCAGCAGCAATATGCCAGATACCATGTCTTATAAGGAATCCAAAAATAAGACACTTAAGATACTCCAAGCAAGAAAGTGATCGATTATATGATGAGAATAATTGCACCATAGGAGAAGTTTTGAGCTACAAGAAAAACACAAAAAATAGGCCCTATGGTGGGCCTCTATTACAGCAGGGTTGCTTCAACTAAGATAGTCAGATAGATGTAACTGAGAAGACAATCTAGGCAGAGAGAACATTGTAAAAGTACATGAGCATAACTGATTCTAACAGCAACTTTTTTGTTGTTTGCTTTGTTTTTTAAATTTTATTTTAAAGAGAAAAAAATAAAATTTCAAAATATGATAGAAGGTAACAATGGTTAATACACTGCGTATTGTTATCTTTAGTTACTCAGAGTACAAGATATCTGCATTTAGTTGTCCAAACAGTACCTGCACAAATTTTTTTCAATGACCTAAGTGAAATCTGTAGTATAACTATCATATATATATACATAAATATATATGTATATACACATATACATAACATACATACATTGTTTAGCTTCTCACACTAGAGATATAAACAATACTATGTTTACACATGTGATTTATTTCACTTATGTGAGCATGGTATTTAGTTGCCTCCATTTATCTATAAAAGCCTCAAGATTATCCTTCTTTATGACTGAGTAGTACTCCATTTTATTAAAATACCAGTTTTCTTAAACATTCTTCAGTTGATGGCCATTTAGGTTGTTTCTAAGCTCTAGCTATTACAAATTGTATTGCTATAAACATGAGTGCACTTATATAACAGCAGCTGTTTTGATTTTGATACAAAGGATGTTGCAGAAGGAAGAATCAAAGTACAATCCTGAAAAGTATGCTGCAAAAACAAAATACCTAAACCTACCAGATAGAGGTCTGTTATTTTAAATAGAAGAGTGGGTAATACAGATGATGGCTTTTTTTTTTTTTGGTCTTTTTCCTTTTTATCGGTACCGGAGAGCGAACTCATGACTGCCTGCTTGCAAGGCAGGTGCTTATGCCGCTGAGCTAAATCCCCAGCCCCTGATGATGGCATTTTTTGATAGCAGCTTTTTTATTGGTTATGAAACCTAAGCCCACATACAAAATTAGGAACATGTTTAGATGCCTCTTTTGAAAGAAGGTTTCAGTCTTTTTCAAATGAGTTTAAAAAAATAAAAACAATGCAATTTTTAAACACTGTTTTTGAAAACTTAAAAGTGCAGCAATATACTTTAGTTTCATTTGCCTATGAAATGGTGCAATCCCAATTAAAAACTGGTAAAGTCACAACAGACTGAATCAAGCAAATACATACATTTGTCTGCACCACTTGATGCTAATGTTCACTTACATGTTAGTTTGCACTTAAAACACAAGAGGAAATAGGAATCATCACAGTTGAGGCCCAATTTTAATCCGGACATGTACAAAGTTTTAAAGGGTAACTGTCAGTTATGTATGGATGGTCTGGAAGAAATTAAAGTGAAAGGGGGTTAAAGGGTTATAATTTGATTGCCAAGCATTGAAAATTGACTACATTTTATTTAAATCATTTGAAGTACCATTGGTGCTGACTCTTTACATCTTTTTTTTTTAAATTCATTGCCATTGGTAACACACAGGAAAGCCAATCAGCAGTGACTTCCTATATGTAAAAGACATTGAGCAAATACATTGATTTTTCAGAACATTTTTTTAAGTATGGAAGTGTTTATGATTTACATGCTTTGGCTAATAATTACCACCTTACAGCATTAATGATACTTCTATCCACATATGCTTTTTCAATCTTTATCATATATTACCTCAACAGATCATCTGAATATTAAGTAAGGGGGAAGGCACAGAAGTTACAAGGAAAACAGAGTTGTTATACTTGCCAAACTTGCAACAGTTACAGAAACAGGACTGGCATTTGGACTTGCTGGTTCTAATCTAGTCCTCATAATTTCTTGCCATGGGTAATGTGGCAATTAGATTCCAGAATGATATGAAACTTTCAGGAAGACCATTTCCTATTAAAGTAACTGTAGGGATTCTGGCGACAGACACAGGCAAATGATACCCTATGAACCGAGAAAAAGAACAAAGTTACACAGGCACAAGCAAGGAATGCCTGGGGTACCAAAGGCTAGAAGAGGCAAGGAAGGAATCCCCCATACCTTCCAGAGTAAGCAAGGCCTGCCAGCGCCTCCACGGTAGATGTCTAGCTTCCAATTTACTGTGGAGAATACTTCTATTGCTTTAGAACAAGTAACTGTAGGAAAGGAGGTTAAGATGAGGAAGATTTGGTAGGAAAAAAGATTTGTCTGGGAGATGGCAACTGTGGGTGGAATTCGTTCACGGAATTCAGTGAGGCCAGAGCTTTCCAGATCCAGTCCTGCAGCGCAATACTCCAGTCGTTCTTCCTGCTGCTTTTGCCATGCTGCACGGAGAAGGTACACAGACTGGAACCAGGGGCTGCTGCACAGCTGGTGTTCTGTGAGTGCAGAGACGCCAGTTCCAACAGGACCAAATACATAGTTTCTCTTACTCCCTCCCAGGCATCAAAAGAGCTGTCTTACAGAATTTGACCCTAATATTTATTATGGACTTGATTTGTGCCAAGCTCTGCACTGAGCTAAGATAAAGATACCAGGATTAGGAGGAGGGACTAAACACATCTATCTGGGGAGGTCAGGTAAGCCATCCTGGAACTGACAGCATTTGAGATGCAGTCTACACAATGGCGTGGCCAGTGATTCTCAAAGCATGGTCCCTGAACCAGCCATATCTGTCTCACAACAAATCTGCTAGACATCTGCAAACTACTGGTGTTATGGTTTGGCTCTAGATGTCCCTCCAAAGCCTCGTGTGGTCACAGGTGGGGCTTCTTCAGACGTGACTGAATCTAGAGGGTGTGTGTGATGCTGATATTAAGGGGGTGTGACTACTAAATCAATAAACTGATTGGTTTGGCACTGCTTAATCCCAATAGACTGGATACAGCCTAAGGGACAGAAAAAACATTTGTCTTCTCTCTTGCTTGTTTGCTTTTGCTGTCTTCTGCTTAAACCATGGACTAGTTCTCCTCTGTGATGCCCTTCTGCCAAGCTACCCTGCCTTGGAGCCAGCCAATTATGAAGTAAAATCTCTAGAAACTCTGAGCTAAATAAACCTTTCCTACTTTACCCTGTGGATGTTGGGTATTTTGTCTCAGCAATAAGAAAAGTAATGGACAATTGGGTTTTCCCCATTTCTACCAAATGAGAAGTGAAAGGGGGGTAGGGGGTTCAGTACTCTGTTTTAATAAGCAACTCATGCAATTACAATGTATAATATAGTTAAAAACACCAAACTAGGGGGCTGGGGATTTAGCTCAGCGGCATACGCACCTGCCTTGCAAGCAGCCGGTTGTGAGTTCAATCCTTGGTACCGATAAAAATGAAAGACAATAAAAATGAAACACAAAAAACAAAAAAAATACACCAAACTAGGCTTTAGACAGAAGATGACAAGAATGTCACTTTCATGGGAAATAAAGTGAACCCAGCGCATATACTAGGCCACCCACTGCAGTCTCCTGCTTATTTCTGTTTCTGTTGTTTTCTACCATGCTCACTCTGATCCAAGCTATTCCAGCAACCAAGGTGCTGCCCTCTTCAGACAGCTCTTTTCACTATCTTCCCCTCAGAGCCCAAACCTTACCGTCCTCTCCAATCACTTTCACTCTCACTGGCCACCTATGTTTCAGGTCATCATCTCAGTTCTCCATTCTCCATCTACTCCTCAGGACCTCTGGTGAGTTTATAGCTTCCTGCTTACACTCTGGTTTTGTGCAGGACTGCAGGTAGTCATTTGCCTTTTCCTTTCAGTCTGCTCTCAAGTAGCTTGTCCCTGGCCAGGCATGATAGGCCTGCCTGTAATCCCAGCGGTTTGGGAGGCTAAAACAAGACGGGGATGTTTGAAGCTATCCTAGGCAACTTAACAGTTAGCCAGAGCTTTTTTCAAATTTTTTTTAAAAAATTAAGAGCTAAGGATGTAACTTAGTGGGAAGGCCCTAGATTCAATCTTGGGTACCACAAAACAAATAATTTATCATGCTACTATCTTCTTTATGGCTTCTTCTCATTTTTTGAGATGATACATTATGATGATACCTCACAGGGACCAGACCAAGACCCCTGGCTGCCTGTTTGAGGGGTATAGTGTAGGCTGAAATAAAAGACAAAGAGAATATGAGGAATGCATAAAGGGGGCTGGGAGGTCAGTGCACCAGGACGGGCAGAGACAAAGACACTCAGCTTGCCACTGTTTACTGAATACATAACCTCATTCAGAGAAGGTAGTGAATGATTCAAGGAACAGCAGTGACCATTGAAATGGGATAGTAATAAGAAGGGGACCAAAACATTCTTGCAAGAATACAACATGGCTTAATATAGAGAACCTGCTTTTTCCCCAAGTGAAACTACTGCTACTGTATTGTTCTAAAGACAGATGGTATCCTCAACAGATCTGACCTTGCCCTGTAAGCGTTATGACACTGTACAGCCTCAGCCGCAGCCAAGAAAGAGCAGGAGTTTCTGACCCACAAGGCAAGACAACCACTGGCCTCCTACAGACCCCAGCCTCAATTTACAATTTGTGGTCCCCAACAGATACCAAAAAGGAGCGATAGGAAGGATACCAAATATGTCATACATATGTTATGACTTATTATTTCATAAGGTATTTTTAATGTTTACATGTTCTCTTTTCTATAGGATTATTTCTTAAACCTAGAATAGGACCTGTTTGTGTACTATTATTACAGGTGATAAAATCAGGATTGAGAATGAAGAGTCATTCCAAAAGGAAGATAAACTCAAAGATTCAGAACTCATTGGGGGGAGAACATGGCAGACAGATAACAGATACTACGGAGGCTCTCTGAAAGGCTTGGTTCAGAAGTCAGGAAGGGTGCGGAGTAAGGAGACATAAGCAGGTGGAGATATGCTCTGCTGACTCAGGAACGAACTGGGCTGAGAGAAACCAACTTGGAATGCAGTCCTGGTGCTAAAACAGGAACAGAAAAGCCTCAGTGTGGAGGCTGGACCCCGCGCCACTGGAAGCCACGATTTGGGTTTCCTGCCTCTACAGCGGCTCGGCAAGGAGAGAGACGCGCGGAAGCTCTGAGAACAGGGGTCTGTGAATGCAGTCGAAAACAGGACGGGCAGGGAGGTGTGCACTGGCTTGTGGTGAGGTGAGTGAGAGAAACTGACACTCTACCACAGTTTGACTCCAGCGGAGGACTTTCTGGGCCCGGGCAGTCCTGCAGGAGCAGGGCAGAGTGGCGATTCCAGCCACATATCCCCCTCTCCGGCGGGATTGGTGAAAAGTGCCTGGCCTATGTGACGCTGCTGGTGGACCCAGTAGGCTGGCCCAACCCAGATCCCAGAGCCTGACGGTGGCCGGGAGGGGCGGGCCCCGCATAGGCTGCCTGGTCCGTAACTCCCTGGTGCGCTGCGGTGGGCGGGAACACCTAACCGGCGCAATTCGATCAGGCTGTGGCTGACAGGGAAAGAAGCTGGGCCTCCTATGTAAGCTTGCATATATAAGGAACAGAGAATATGGGAAAAGGCAGCAACAAGAAAGGCTCCTCAGCCCCCAATTCTGAGAAACAGGCAATAGCGGACACCGCACCAATAGACATAAAGCACCATATAGAGAGCCTCATAGATCAATTCAGGAATGAAGTTATCAACGACCTGAAACTAGAAGTATGCAGAATAGTTAGAGAAATGCTAAGCACCACCCAGGAAAAAACAGATGGTGGAATGGAAGAACAGAAAAAGAGGGGAGAATTGTGTGATGGAGAAAACAGAGAAAGCATAGAATACGTGAAGCAGGTTCAAAGGGACTACCAAGAAACTAAGAAGTCTATCGAAGACTGGCATAACAGCTTGAAAGAAACTAAGGACAGACTATCTGAACTGGAGGGCAGACTTGTAATATGGGAGAATGAAATGAAAAACTTCTTAAAAATAACAAAGAAACAAACAGAATAATACAAAGACAAGAAGATGATAAGAGGATCCATAACTTAAGGATTAAGAACATAAAAGAAGAAGTAGGGACACAAACAAGTGAACTACAAAAGCTACTCACAGAAATAATCCAGGAGAATTTTCCTAATTTAGCAAAAGGTAAAGATGCCCAGATGTATGAGGCATACAGGACCCCAGCTACCTACAACCCAAACAGAGCAACACCCAGGCATATAATAATAAAAATTCCAGAAATTCAATACAAGAACAGAATACTAAAAGCTGTCAGAGACAAGAAACAGACCACTTACAAGGGAACACCAATCAGAATTACAGCAGATTTCTCTGCACAAACCATCAAATCACGAAGAGCGTGGGGGGAAATAATTCAAGCTTTGAAAGATAATAATCTCCAGCCAAGATTGAGATATCCTGCACAACTGTCCCTGGAAATTGATGGAAAAACAAGGTGCTTCCAGGATAAAGAGGAACTGGGGGAATTTGCAACCACCGATTCAACTCTACAGAGAGTATTGCAGGATATTCTAAAAAAAAGAAAAATACAAAGAATCCAGAAATAGTGGCGGGGAGGCCACAATGAATGGAGCAGAGAACAAAATGAAGAAGACAAACTGACAGCTACTGACAGAAAAAGAGCTCAACAGAAATGAGGCAGAGAAGACTGGATGATAGGAACAGCTATTTTGGAGAAAATGACACCTTAATAGGTAATACTGATTTAGTATCATCTTGTTTTGAAGTCTCATCTAGCTTTTGTTCTTCTGTCTCCAATGGTCTAAATAGGTTGTATCTTATTGGATTTTATTATGTACGAAGTATAAGCAAAAACCTTTTAAAGACAAGGAGATTATACAGAAACCATTGTTCATTTTCTGTTAGTCGATTCTAAATACTCTGTAATGCTGTCTCTTAAATGGTTTTACATTGTTTTGATATACTTAATGCTACAGTATACGAAGTTGTACTCAAGGATTTCAAGGAAAGAGACAATATGGTAACTACTTTTAGGTCAGGATTATCTGGTGGTGAAACACTATTCTGCTTAAATGGTTATGTTTTGATCTGCGCTGTTTCGCTGTTATGCCCTCTTTTATCTCAATCTCCACTCCATTATTTACTTTTTTATTTTTATCCTTTTAATTAAAGGAAAAAAATAGCAGGATATATTATAGTAACCCACTTTGACTTTCCATTATCTCGATTTAAAGCCCTGTATTACTCTCACCATCTTGTTTTTGACTGATGTTCCCCTATTCTGTTTTGCTGGATAGTATCAGGTTCGAAAGTTTAGGCATCAGCTGTGAAGATAATGAGATTCATTATAACGCCCATTCTCGTTGACTTTTATCTACTTTTGAAGACCTACAATGTCTCCAATGTTTTGGTTTTGTCGATTTTATTCTTTACTGTTTTGTTCAATTGTATTATAACTAATGATATAGGCAATTCTATTAGAGATAGCGGGAGGCATTATGGTAACCATTGTTGATCACCTTGTATTATGTTTATACATTATCTATTATGTCCACCCTTTTGACTTGACCGATTCTGTTCTGTTATGTCACATTTGGTTTTACTCTCTTCCAAAAAAATAATAAGAACCGTGGGAGAAATGAAACCCAAAATGTATAATAGTCATTGTACAAAAGAGAGGAAAGGAAAGTGCTCTAAACTATATAACTGCATCTATATTTAAGTGTATAAGATAGAAAATGATATCACTGAGTTTTATTGGATCATTGAACAGAACTGTTTGCAGTATCATTGTTGGAATGTCCACTTTACAAGCTTTAATTTTGTGACTTGAACAATTATTTCTAAGATGACAATATGTAATCCATTAACTAGTGATTTCCTGTTTATTTTTTTTTCTGTAAATCTGTGTAACTTGTACCCTTTCTCTGCTTTTTTTTTTTCTTTTCTCCTTAAATAAAATTTAAAAAAAAGAACTCATCAGGGAGATAAGACAGACTTAGTGAAGACATTCCTCAATACCCAGAGTTAAAAGATGCTACTGAAAGTGAGAGCAGAATAAAATGGCAACAGAAGGAAAGAAAACAATATAAATGTGATGAATGTGGAAAGTTTTAGCCATAGCTCAGACCTTAGTAAACACAGAGCTCACACTGGAGAGAAGCCCTAAAAATGTGATGTATGTGGAAAAGCCTTCACTCAACACTCCCAGCTTACTGGACATAAGCAATATTGGAGTGAAACCCTATAAAAGTAAAGAGTGTGGGAGATTTCAGTGGGCACAGAGGCCTTACTCAGCATCAAAGAATCCACACAGGCAAAAAATCCTATGAGTGTGATGTGTGTGGAAGGTCCTTCTGTGCACGTTCAGCTCTTATTAGACATCAAAGAATTCATATAGCAAGTAAGCTCTACTAATGCAGTGGAGGTAACAAAGTTCTCTCGACACTCGGGCCTAATGTGTTGCCAGAGAATCTACCTCAGAGACTGCATTTAACTGTTCTCTAGCACCACAGAATCTGTCTCAGTAAAATATCCTTTTATTTCTGAATGGAGTTTTTTAGGAGAAATGTTATTTCAGAAAGCCTTATCCACAACTGTATGCCACAACTGAGGCTTCCTGTTCAAAATGATTTCTCTTCTACTCCAGCTCTCTGCACTCAACCAGTGTACGGCATTTGGCAAGACTTTCTACTTGTTCTCTGCCTTCAATTCCCCTAAATGATAATAGCTGTGTTTTTTTTGTGGGGGGGGGTAGTTTTTTTATATTTTGTTTGGCACTGGAGCTCGAACTCACAACCTTGTGCTAGTTTCTTTTCTGTCTTTTGTTTTTTTTTTTGGTACAGGGATCAAACTCACATCTTGTGTTTACCAAGCAAGTGCTTGAACCACTGAGCTAAATCCTCTGCCCCCTTGTGCTAGTTTCTAAGTGGGCACTTAGGCCACTGACCTAAATTCCCAATACCTGTGTTTTGATAAATTAGACAAAAATTATTTTTTGAAATTCAGAACTAAAACAGTGCTTCTTATTAATTTTTCACTATTACCAATTATCTTGCCTTTTTTGAGGGGAGAAATCAGGGGTTGAACTCATGAACTCCCACTTGCCAGGCAACCAGCATTTTACCTTAAAGAGATATGATCAGTTTGTTTCTCTGATTACCTCTATAAGGACACCAATGGGGTCCAGGCCTTCAGCAACATGAACTTTTGGAGGACAAACACAGCAGGAGGCAATGGAGAGAGGAAGCAGTGAATGTTGGGGCTGTGGGAGGTCCCTCTTGATGAACAGGGAGAAAACATAATGCAGGGGTTTAGATCAGCAGTACAAGTGCCTGCCTGGCAAGTGCAAGGTCTTGAGTCAGATCCCCAGTACCAAAAAAAAGGATAGAAGGAAAAGAGAATTTTTAAAAGAGCATAGGAAATGGAAGAGCTAAAATAAGGGATATGAAAAACAGAAGAAAGAGATAAGTAATACTAATGTATTGACATCAATCCTATCTGAAAGAACGGGTCACAGATAAGTCATACAAAGATAAACATTGGCTCCTGGTGTCTAAGTACTTTAACTCTTCAGGGCACAGCATATACTATTTATATTATGTGATCTACATTTTCATCCTAAGTATGAAATTGTTTCATTAGTTTAATAATCATAAGGTCATCAACAATGGAAATTGAAATACTTCAATCCCACCTATTCTTCACTTAATATATCACAAGTGAGTCAGGCTCAAGTTTTAGAAGAGTGGTTGTCTCATTTTATTCTAATCATGACAGGGTTTCTCAATGGCCAGTTCCATTATATTTCGGACCTCTTTGTTGCTGGAAAGCTGTCCTCAGTACCGTAAGGATATTCATTAGTATCCCTGGCCTCTATCCACTAATGCCATACCATTCTCCACTTATGACAACCAAAAAAACCCAGATGTTTGTTTAGTTTCTGCAGGCCAAATAATAGCAATTTCAAATTAGTACTTAAGCTATATAAACAAGGACAAAAAGACTATGTAGAGGAATCGAATGGAAGAATTTTATTTTTCTCTTCTCATAACTGTGTGAAAGCATCCTTGTCAGGGAACACCTCTGGCTAAAGACATACTGCCAGCAAGCCAGGTGTTATGGTTTGTGTCTAATGTCCCCCTAAAGCCTCCTGCAGTCATAGTATTTTGGGGGATAGCTGAATCTAGGGTTTGTGATTGACTGTAGTGCAATGCTGGGATTACGAGTGAATCAGTCCACTGACTGGATTGGCATTGCCCTAAACCGAGTAGACCGGATACAATAGAAGGGACAGAAAGAGTCACTCTCTCTTGTTGCTTTTGCTGTCTTCCACTAGAATGAATGGATGACCCACTGCCCTGACTTGGAGCCAGCCAATTACTGACTGAAACATCTACAAACTGTGACCCAAATTGGAACTGAAACCTCTACAAATTTTCCTCCTTTTTGTCTGTCAGGTATTTTGTCTCAGTAAGGAAAAAAAAGAAACTAAGGCATCAGGTAAGATTCTCAATATTGCTAGAGTAACTCTGTACGCACTTCTCCCACCTGGATGGTGCCCTTCAAGTGGGTCATCAGGCTCAAGAGGACTGGGCGCCCAGCGTGCAGGACGCCTGGGCTCCACAGTTTCGGGAAAAAGAAACCTAGTTGTCAGTGAAAGCACACAGGTTAATCTAGAAACGTTAATCTAGAAACTGCTAGAGCCAGTTTACATAACCTTCGTACTGAACGCATTGTCTGTGCCTTGGTTTCCCGGTCTACAAGACGGTATCATAATGGTACCTCCCTCACAACAAAGTTAAATGAATGGCCAAATGTAAAAGTTCAGAACAAGGCCTGGCACACAGTGTAAATCGCTACCATCAGGCCACAGCCCCTTCCTTTAAGGCCGCTCGAGTCAGGACCCGGGCTCCACCTTTGTGAACCCCCTCACGTTGCTGCTGTGTTTTAAATAACGCACGACACGTTGGCAGTCACCTTAATTCCCGACCCAACCAGCTGGCCCAGCGGAGAACGACCTCCGGCCCGTGCCCCGGCTGTCCCACACTCACCATCGCCTCCTCCGCGGTCCGGAAAAGCTCTTGGCTTTATGGCCGGAACTGGGTTCAAGGGGCGGTGCGCGAGGAAAAAGAGTCCGGCCTTCCCAGGCTGCTGTGGTTCCGGGCAGGCAGTTGACAAAACAAGTTAAACCTCTTTTCTTGTCAAAACTGTGTGGGACTTGTACATATTTTAAGTGCTGCCACACTGGGGAATTGGAAAGGCTATCAGAACAAATATTAAGCACCTAAACTGAGGAAACTATTTGATAGAAAATATGATAGTAGTAATATAAGACAATGTAATCTGAGCAAAATACAGTAATAAAGTCTAAGCTATAAGGACAGTTGAGAGTGTTATCACAGAATATTAGAGTAGTGTTTCGATTGAGTAGAAAGCAAGCAGACAACTTCTTTGATTTGGGAAATGTCTAGCAGGAGGGAGATGGATACTCTGAAGGACAATAAATGGCAAATAATAAAAAAAGAAAATAAACATCAGTAGAGGAATAGTTACATATGCCAAATTCTTCGTGGACTACTACTCAGCCATTAAAATTTCTGAGTTAACAAAAAAATGACTGTGTCAGATATTTATTCCATCTGGGAAAAAAACTGAAAGCGTTTTGCCCTATAATAAATTACAGGGCATTATGGCAGTAGTTCAACATGGTGGAAGGCCAAATAGGGGATGCTTACTCAGGTACTTCCTCCTTCTTCCCCAGTTAAAACTTCCTCCTTTCTTTCCCAGTGCACCTGAAGAAAACTGCAAACAGCTTCTCACTCACCATCAATGCCTCTCCCAAGCACCACATCCAGTCAAAGGTCACATATACCCCACACCCCATATCCAGGCAGAGGAGAAAACCAAACCCTTGCTGGTTGAGGGCTCCTCTCCACATCCTTCAAATAAAAAGGCCACTTTACTTTTTCTTATATTCTGCTCCGTTATTACACCAGAAAACACTAAGAAAAACTACATACAGGTGAAAGCAATCCTGTGTGGTATTTGTGTAAAGGAAAAAATGCATTACAAACGTAATAGTTGTTGCTGTTATATAAAGGGTTTTGAAGATTTCATTCTGCTTGCAGACTAACAGTTTAACTTACCATGTCATGGATACAGGTAGAAGATACTAGACTCGGGTCAGAGACGTAAGTCTATTTAATGACACAGGAGCCTTCATGTTCCTCTTTCTCCAATGCACACGGAAGTGTCATGGAAGGGGCAACTGGGTGTTGCTCACACATCGCATTTGTGTCCTAGCAGAGGAATCTCTAGCTTAGGAAAACTAATCTTGGCTCAGCCTCACCCCAGAGTGAGACATTCTCTTTATTACCCTACTCTAGAAACAAATTTGCCCCAGAAGTAGATAAAACATAATTAAAAAATAATCTGAGGAGCCAGGTATGGTGAAACAAGCCTGTAATTCCAATACTCTGGGAGCCTGAAATAGGAGGGTCAAAACCTGGATTAAAAACTAGTCGATTTAACACCAGCTGAATTAAATCAACATGATGCTGAGTGTAGATGGCCCACCTGAGGAAAGCTGCCAGCATAAAAGATGTTGCAAGGAAGAATGTGGCATTGTGGGTTCTCCTAAGTGTCGTTATTTGGAGTCATTGGCTCTCCTGAAGGAGCTTGTCATGCTGGCTTCCCTGAAATGAATTCGGCCATTATTCGTCAGAGGAGCTTGGGACCTTGTCGCTGAGAATGGCTGTGGTTTACTTTGGGGGAGCTCTGTTCCTTACACTGAGCCTCACTTCCTGGCTCCAGAGGGGAAGATGTATGCCATTTAATCTCCAGGAGCAGCTTGGCACACGGCTTCCTGGCTGTACTCAATTGTCCTCATGGTCAGAGAAGCTTGGGATGTCATTGTCACTGAGGATGGTTGTGGTACTTTTCAGTTCCTGTTTTAATTATCACTTCTTGGCTGCAGTGTAGAACCCTCAACCTACTAGCATAGACCCTTCACCTGGCTGGCATAGACTTTCTAGCTTCCAGCATAAAAGGAGACATGGCAAGGAAGAATGAGGCATTGTCGGTTCTCCTAAGTGTTGTTATTTGAGTCCTTGGGCTTTCCCAGTTCAGATCCATAAAACAGACTAGCATGAGTCATTATGTGGGCTCTAGACCTCCATTTGGACTTGTGGAAGGCATTGTCATAGGTTCTGGGTTTTCAGCTGGGCTCATGCAGGATATTGCTGTGGGATCCAGACCCTTGGCTGGATTTTCTAGATCTTTAGTGTTATAGACAGATTGTCTGCACTTTCTTGTATTTAACTCTAGGTGACCACCATAAAATAATATTACAAATTCTGTGTCCTGTATGTAATTGTTCTCCTTACAATCTCTGACCACAATAAAGCCCAATCTGGGAAATTTAGCAACTTAATGAGACCCTGTCTCCAAAAATTTTAAAAAGTAGGGGGCATTGCTTAGAAGCAGATAGAAGAATTCATACAGCTTTTATTAAGCCACACATTTAAAAAGTTTCCAAAAATGTGAAATTCTCTTTTTACTAATTTGTTTTGAGAAATATAGCTGGAATTAAGTGAAATATACAGTAAAACCTTGGTTCAGAAGCATAATTAATTCTGTAAACATGCTTGTAATCGAAAACACTTGAATATATATCAAAGTGCATTTCCCCATAAGAAATAATGGAAACTCAGATGATTCATTCCAAAACCCAAAAATAATCATATAAAAATGGTTATAATACTGTAATATAATACAAACTATAAAGAAAAATAAATTAACCTGCACTTTCATAGCTAGTGTGAAGGAGACAAGAGGGAGGAGGGTTATTGTCCAGGATGACTTTCACTTTGACTAATGGAATTACTTCTATCTATTGGCTCTAAGAAATCTTTTTCTTTTTGTGCAACTTTAACAAGGAGCTACCCAATGACATTTGCTTTTGCCTCCTTTTGAGGATTTTTGCAGAATTCTGACACTGCATTGCCATTAAACAGATTCGCCCTCTGCTTCTGGGGATATAACTCAGTGGTGTGAATGCCTACCCAAAAAGCATAAAGTCCTGAGTTCAATCCTCAGTACCAAAAAAAGTAAAATCAGATTCATAATCTGTAGTATTACTGCTCTTTTTGAGTGGTGTTTTTATACAAAAACTTTCACTGTTTCTAACATCTTACACATGTCCTTAATCTCAAGTGAAGGATTCCTCTGCCTTTTTCCCCTCATCTTCTGCTAATGAGATCTCCTACACAACCACTTGCTGTTAGAAGAAAATCACCCACAATCCTGCAGAGAGACAGAGAGAACCATTGGCTCAGTTGTGATTTCCTGATGTCTGGTGTCAGAAATTATTCACTTTGCATCACGTATTTATCAAGTTAAAATTTGTGTTCATCTTCTGAAGCAATCACAAGTTACAGCCCAAAGTTTATTATATATCTCAATAGACACCTCGTATATATCTTGACATGTATGAGTTTATTCTCATTCAACTCTCAAACTTTGAATGTGAAAGGACCTTTTACCCTATATTCTCCCAACTACATACCCTATTGAATTCAAAAGAAAGTTTTGCCCTTTGAGAAGTGGAAAAAGAAATTTGTGAATCTTACTTCATTTGTTTCTTGACATAGAAGTTGGGAATCATCCGTGGAGTGGATAGCCTTTTCTCTTTTCTGCATGTATCTCATCTCAGCATTTGATGACTACTCTGTTAATATGTGGGCTTTTCCTTTGCAAGGGGGAAGTCTTTGGACTCTAACTAATTTATTACTTTGTGGTGAGTGACCCTCTTTTTCCTCAGTGTCTGAGTGTTTGCTTCTGGGCATTTCTGCTAGAGTTTTACAATTTTTTAAAGGAAATCAAACATTTTAATCATTTCAGATTCATTCAAGACACTTTCCTTCTCACATTTTAATGAAGCTATTCACCTCTGGTCTCTTGTACCTTTTCTTGTGCTATTAAGGATCATAAGAGTACTTTTATCATAAAGATGCAGAGACATAGGTTTTCCAGACCCACATTTATTCTTTAGAATATTTCTTTTGATGACTTATTGATTTTAATTTTATGAGTTTTTTATATTTAATAATTAAGCTGAAAAAATCACAAAAGTAAAGTATTAATGTCTTTTTTTAATTTTAAAGAGGATAAAACAGAATAAAACCAATCAAAACAAACCAGTGTAAGAGATACAGGACTTCAAAACATTATGAAATCAACAATAGTTACCATGTCTTTTGATGGCTTCAAAATAGCTGCAGATAACTTTGGACATAGTAAAAATCAAACAGAACAGAATAGAATAGAAAAAATAAACACAAAACAATGAATGCAATAAAGGATTTCAAAACAAGCCAATAGTAAATCCAAAATCACTACCATAACATAACTTACTATCATTGAAACAGCTGCCCATGCCATCGAATTTAACATAATCAAAACAAAAAAGAATAAAGCACAACACAACAAAATACTAGAAGTGATATAGAATCTCAAAATGAGAAAATAGGGAGTCAATAATGAAGTATTGAATTTTTAACATTTAATTTATATAAAAGCATCAAAATTTTCGACATCGTTTTTTGTTATAAAAAAAATCTAAAAAAGAAAGGAATAAATTCTTATATTAACTACAATGAAAATGCCAATAGTGCATTACAAAAAATTATCTTTACTTCAATTATCACTACTGAGGCAGTCTGTGCACATTCCTTACACACACATGGCTTACACTGACAGCACATGTGTTTTGTTTTCCTGCCTTTTTTGTAGGACATACTTGACATCTCAATGGTTTTGCTGTTTTGTCAGAAGGTTCTTTTTGTATTATACAATGTGTAGTTAACAGAAACATAAAATATCAATAAAATAAAGCATTAAGAATTTTTTTGTATTAGAGCTCAAACTCATGACCTCACACTTATCAGGCAAGCACTTGAGCTACTGAGCTAAATCCCTGGACTCTTCTTACTATGTCTCATGTGTTTAGAATAGACATTAACATTTTCACATCAGCTGTTCACTTGTTTACAAAACCTAAAAGAAAATCAAAACAATAATGTAAACAAAAGAAAAAGTCTACCACAAAAATAAATTTAGCTTCAATTGTCACATCCAAAGCAGTCTTCACACAAGAAAACTGCAAGTTCTGTGCATATGTCCTGCTTACACTGATCGTACATGTGCTTATCTTTCCTTTCTTGTGTGGTGGTCTTTCACCTCTCTTCTCTGTTTTTCCATGAGCTCCCTACTATATTGCAGAATATGCACTCATCAGGGAAATAAAATATCAATAAAGCTCGGCGTGGTGGTACACTCCTGTAGTCCCAGCACTTGGGAGGCTGATGTACAAGGATTGTCGCGAGTTCGAGACCAGCCTGGGCTACAAAGTGAGTCCAAGGCCAGCCTGAACTGCATAGCGAGACCCTGTCTCAAAAAGACAAAAAAAAAATCGATAAAATATTAATAAAATAAAATGTCAAATATATAATGAGTATTTAGACATCAACATTTTCACATCAACTGTGTACTTGCTTACAAAACCTAAAAGATAACATCAATAAAAACTGATGTGAACTACAATGTGAACACAAAAGTTTACCACAGAAATAAGCTTTGCTTCAACTGTCATAACCAAGCCAGTCTTTACACCTGACAACCTCATGTTCCGTACACAAGTATCACTTATGCTGATAGCACTTATGTTTTGTTTTCCTGTCCTGTCTTGCAGAGCACAGTTGACATCATTTTTGTTTTCCTGTTGTCCTAGTAGGTCTTTGTGATGCTGTTCATGCTTGTTCACCTGTCCGTTTACTAAGGTGCTCCATAATTTCTTTGCATATTTCCCTGGGGAGAAACATCTTGCTTTTCCTCTGCTATAAATGATCTCTTATAAGTTCCATTCTCAATCCTCTAAGAAAATTTCTCCATGATATTTTTCACTTATTGAACTATCAAAGTATGCCACATATGTCTAGAATCAAGTAAAACACAACTATTGCCCAATACTTTGTACTTCATAGTTCCTGCATAAACTCATCAATGACATCTCCACTTTCAATTTTGTTTTAGAGAGTTTCCATCTCAGGCTTTTGCTTTGTTGAGATTTCCTTATCAATATTGCCCCATCATAGAGAAATGTCAACAACAGTACCTGTTGGTTTTTCTTGCCATAGATGAGGTCAATGTTATATCTTTCTGAAATCTCAAGACTGTACTATACAATTCTCTGTTTCGAAATTGCAACATTTCACTTGGAATTTTTGCCTTGTTCCTAAGTACAATTCCTGCACTGGTGTACTTGTGCTTTGTTAGCATCAACTGAAAACTGGTAAACCAATTGTCAGATGTTACATTCCAATTAGTTTAGGGGATGGAAGCAACAACTCTGTTCACAACATCATTAGGTCTATTGAAATACAAATAAGAACCTGATGGCTGAGTTCCAGGATAATGTCTAAATTGAAAACATATTCAGTCTTCAAATCTACAAGGGTGTTCGAGCCATTGAAGCTGAATACACGTGCAGGGCTGTGGCATGGCCTGGGCATGGCTGAACCGAGAACGAGGAGACACCTCAGGGGCAAGATAGGCCACAGCTGAGGCCACCTGGAGACTTCTGGAGAGTTTTCCTTAATTAGCTTGGGCTGTTGCTCTGAGGGGTTCTTGAATGCCTCCCAAGATCCTGCTCAGGTTTCCTGCATTTTCCACTCAACTCCTTACTTGTTCTGATTAAATACCGGCTGCCCAGGGTCAGTGAGTCAGCTGGCTAGCAGAATTCCCTACTTGATGTGTCTGTATCAGTCAATTCTTGCTCCATTTCAGTGTCACAGGAAATTTATTTGGCCAGTCTCAAAGTCATCAGCATCAGCATCATCCACCCACATCACTCTTCTGTTACAAAGGCATGCATTTTACCATAATGGATCATCTTCATCATCCATGCATGAGTAATCTGATGATTCACTTTCAACGTCCTCCAACACTTACTAATAATCTGTTTTTTCATGTACCATTGTCCTGAATTGGGCTACTTCTACCAGAAAAATCGGAAGAAAACTAATTTTAAACAAATCCTGGTGTGCTACGGGTCTATTGGACCTTCTGTGATGCTTGAGTAAACATATGCAAGACCAGTAAGATGATGCATACTGTAGGTAAAAATCCCACACACCATTTGCACACACCTTGATGTTCATCATACCAAGTAGACAAACACATAGATTGCTTCCTGTATTCATCAGGAACAGGTACTGAGAGGCACAGCTGGCTACTACTACAATAAAGTACAAACTGACAGTAGAAAGTGGACCCAGTGTTACATTCCTTAATTATTAATTTTAAAAAAATAATTCTTAAATTTAAAAAATTAATTCTTAAATTTAAAAAAATGGCTTCAACCAACTCGGTTGTTCTTTTCAGCAGTCCACTTGGCCCTTATTACCTGAGCCTATCACCTGCCCTCATATGATGATGACAAATGTCAAGCCATCTTAACCCTGATATCAGAGACTAAGGTATCAAGAAGAGGTGCACAGGTTGCCTCTGAGCAATGAGTTTGAAACTTTAGTTTAGGATAAAAGTATGGTCATTGTCCAGTAGCCATTCATTTTGGGAAAATTGAGAAATATGCATAGTGAGCTCCTTTCCTCATTTCAATGGACAGCACTGTTTGCCTAGGCTTCTGATAATTCTGATTTTGTAAGAATGAGAAGACCACTGTCCTGGAGACCTGTGTGTCACTATCACTGGAAAACCCAGTTCATTGTGCAGGGCCAATCTAGCCATCGCCTACCCAGGGAAGTCTGCTTTGCTGGCAATACACATAGTTCAAAAGACATGATCTTATGTTGTTTAGAAACATTGAGGTACTTAAGAAGCTCTTTTGTTTTGGGGTTTGTAGGGTCCCAGGCTTGCTTTTCTAGAACACAGGATATTAGTGGGGAGCCCTTGAAGATGGAAATTAATCACACATGCAGGGCTAGGGCATGACCATCCCAAGAACAAAGTGTGCTTGGGGCAAGTCACATGAAGAAGCAGCTTCACCCCAGAAAACACCAAGCCCTAGACAATCCAAGCAATGGCTTGCCAGGCAAAGGGGTACCAAGTGACACTGTTTTACTAAATGTATAAATAAATAACCCTACAATGAGGGGTTAGTTCATTTCCTTTCATCCGGAAAGTAAGTAAGGGCTCCACCTGACCCCAGCTTTTGTCTCTTTAATTTTCATCCTTTCGCAGTCCTTTACCCAAGCAACCTCAAGGGCCACGTGAAACGCAGCAGATATCTATTGGTAATGTTTTGGTCTCCATCTGTGGGATCACCACTTCGCTCTCATACAGGCACTCATGCAGGGAGGCCTGGTTTCTCATTGCAGCAACAGTTTCAAGTGGGGCCTGGAGATGTGACTACACTATGGACTACACTATCAGAAGAGGGGATATGTGTATATCCCCTCTTGGAAAGCATGTAAGGAATCCACAGCTGAATGATCAATTAGGACTTGAGCCTTGTTGGTCAGAGTCCTAGGACCCTTTTAGGACCCCAATGAGGGAACACATGGTGGTTGAAGCCTCAGAAGGAGCAAGCTCATCTCAAGCAGGTCTGCAGGCCTGCTGGGTCTTCACTGAGGTGGGGACTTCCTTAGGGTTCGGCAATCAACTGTATTTCAGGAATTCCTGGTTCCCTCTGTTTCCACCGTCTCTGGGACATTCAAGAGCTGGTCATCAAACACTGGGACCTGTTTCTTCCAGGAGCACAAGAAACCTAGCTCCCTTCATCTCCTGCTTCAGCATCTGCCCCTGAGTTTTCGGCGTGAATTCTTCATACTCACTGTGCAGCCTGCAGACACTTTCTTCTTTTCCTGGCCCTTGGTCTCTGCGCACTGGCCACAGTTCTGCTACCTTCAGGGCACTGAGGGTTGGCTGGCCTTCACACCGCATTCACTAGAGATCTTTCAACGGACTGGTACTTCCACTGCCTCTCTTTGCCCCTCCTGTGCTTAGTTGGTTTGCTTGGGATTTCTCGCCTCTCTCTAGGCCCGAACAACCAACCTAGGACCTCTGTGCCCAGTACGTGCACCACCCGCCAACACAACTGGCTCTCGGTCGGCCTGGGTTCCTTTGGCCCCAAACACTCCTATTCTGACCCCGGGGATTTTCAGGATTATAAGCTATGCTTAGCTGGAAACGTGCTGTCTGTGCTGGACACTGGAGAAGTCTGAGAAAAGAACACTACAAAATGCAGAGTGGCTCAGGAGAAAAAACGCGAGGTTTGCAGCGCAGCTGGACTGCTGAGCCGGCTAGCTGCCCCTTCGCTGACCATAGAGCTCTCGGGCCTCCCGATTCCTAGAGAGCCGCCGGAAGTGTCTCTAGGGCTCGAGACGCGCGGGCCGGCGCGGGGGCTCCACAGGCGTGGAAGTCAGGGGCTGCAGGGCCCTGTGCGCGCGCAGCTTCCGCGCGGATCTCCCCGCGCGACCCCGCCAGCCCGCAACTCGCAGTGAGTAGGCCGGCCGCGCGAGGGGGCGGGGCGGGGGCGCAGGACCTGCGTGTCCGCGGGGCGCGTTCCCTGCGGGTCTCCAGGCGAGGAGTCGAGTCGTGCATGGTGGCACCGAGCGTAGGGCGCTGCTCCGCCCTTGCTGTTCGTCTGAACTATTTTCAGTTGGCGATTTGGGCTTTCAAGCGTGGTGAGGTTCCCGTCTAATGTTTTACAAATAGTTTGCTTTTGGGGTCCCCGTAGTCCATACATACTCTCCATCTTTGCGCTTATTGTACTCGGAAAATGAGTATTCTGCTCTTTTTAATATACTGTGAAATGGTGGTGTGCTGGCTGGATGAATGTGCAAGAGAAACATTTTTGAAAATTTAGGATACTGTAGGATTCGACCTTATTCAGAGTACTTTGCACAGCATGCAGCAGTCTTGGTTTTAGTGATGCACAGATTTTGAATTTCTGTTGTAGTTGGGAAATGCAATACATAAAAGCATTTGCTTCATCTACTTTTCCTTGATCTTTAAAACCTGGGAGAAGTCTGTCTGTTCTTGTTTTCAAACATGTCTCAAATTAGACTTAGAGCCCAAAGAAAGAATACGTGTCTTCTACACCGGTCGAATCACAGTGCTGCTAAAAGTTGAGTCATCCCTTCAGTAATTCACAGGATTGTAACACTTGAGACCCACAAGAACCTGTAAAGATTTCCACAGATTTATAAATCAAGCCAGACATGGTGGTGCACACTTGTAATCCTAGCTCCTGGGAAGGTTGTGGCAGGAAGATTCAAGCTTAAGGCTAGCCTGAGGAACTCAGCAAGACTCTGTCTAGAGCTGGGGATGTTGTTCAGTGGTAGAATACTCCTGGGTTCAATTCTCAGTACTGACAGAGAAATGTAGAAGTCTATGAACCTGAATGTTTTTAAGGGGGATGTGTAAAAATCAGTCTTTATCTACAGGTGCTTACCAACTTAACACTCATGTGTACACACAAAACTGTTTGAAGGGAAGATACACCATGAGCTAATTTCACATTCATTTATAGATTGAAATTTTCAGAAACTTTCTGGTTGAAGAAGGAAGAGAAAAAATGGAATACTGGTCACACAAAAGAATTAAAACAAGGATAGGCATATTTGGTATAAAATATGAACACGTGATAACTAGTTTTATCAGCAAGGCTGTTGAGACTAATACACCAACAACATAAATTACTGAGTCATGTTCACTTTACATCGAGTTTTTTATAGTTTTAGATGAGGATTGATTGTAAGATGAGCAGTTGTTCAGTAGATAAAAATGAGCCTTGACTTTAAGGAAATTAATAAAAGAGGATAAATCTATAATTCCATAGCATCAGGTTGTGAAACACAAAATCCCACCATCTTGTCCAAATTGATTCTTCCCCAAATCTCAGTATTCTAACAAATCCAATCATGTGTCTCTAAATTCATATTGTATCAGACCTGTAGTGTGAAGCCCCATAATTAACCTTGTCTGTTGCCCCTTAGTTCTGTCTGTAGCTTACTCCCCTCCCACATACAATGAAGTTAATTTTTCAAATTCTCTTCTGTACACAATCTCTAGGAATTTTTTAATCTTCCTGACATTCTTGGATGAGTCTCCAGTCTGTAAACTGCCTTGAAATTATTCAGATTTTTTTGGTTGGTGGTGGTTTGTTTTTGTTTTGTTTTTTATTTTGGTTTTGTTTATTTCTTTGTTTTTAAGACAAGGTCTCACTGTGTAGCCCAGCCTGGCCTTAAACGCACAATAGTCCTCTTGCCTCAGCTTCCCAAGTGCTGGGATTACAGGTGTGCACCACCATGCCTGGCACTGTCCTCAAATGTAAAATCTCATGCCATTTTCTAGGGAGAAGCTCTATATTTTTATTAGATTAAGGAATCTACGATCAAACCTTTGCAAAAAATGTGAAAAATCATGAAGCATTGCTTTGAAGACTCGTCACGAACTGTGTGTGCAGATTTTCTTCCTAAAGTATCTGTCTCTTATGTCTCTTTGTGAACTACAGGTCTGTGGTCTTGTGTTGGTGTTGCCTCCCTGCCGACTGCTTGTGGATATCTGCCTTTGTGCTCTTCTCTGTCCTCTACAGTGCTACCTTCCTTTGGTCATCTTTCTCACCATCTGCGGTGCCATTGTGATCTTCCTAGCCTACAAATCTGTAGTGTAACTTCCCCAATTTTTTTTTGAGACAGGGTCTCATTATTTATTTCAGTCTTGTTTTGAATTCACTATGTAGCCCAGACTGGCGCTGAACTTGCAGCAGTCCTCCTTCAGCCTCCCTAGTGCTGGAATTACAGGCAAGCACCACCACACTCAGCCAAATTTAAAAGGGTCTCAGGAGAAGATCGCTGCCACTAAGAAACATTTGTAAGAAGGCCATGGCCATAAGCTGACATTTTTTGTACTCTACACTGTATGTAAGTGTCATATTTGGGCCATACAGAAAATATTTAAGCAGGAATGAGCCACCTCAGTCTGCAGGTTGGGGAGTAACAGAAAAACTCATGAAAAAAGTTAATAGATCAGTTGGTGTTAGATTGGAATGCATTCAGATTAATCAATTTTTACATCAGTTTTTGACACTTTGGGGGTTCTGTTTGCACTCTAGATGTTTAGTAGCATCCTTTGCCCTTTTAGGGCACTAGGTGCTTGCAGCAACCCTTTTTCCAGTTGTGACATCAAAAAATGTTTCCAGACATTGCCAAAGGTTCCTGAGGTAGGTGTGTTCCCTGTGGTGAGCACCACAGTCATTAAAATCAATGTGAATGAGTGTTTAGCTCAGTAGCTAAGCAGAGGCTTCCATACCAGGTTTGGTTTCCTATTACAAGACTTTAAAAGAGGTAATCATATGACATATTTGTTAAGTCTCTCGGGTAATATATTAGCTTCCTAGCTTCCTTGTTTAAACAAGAGTATCACCAACTTGGGGGCTTTATGTTATAGAAATTTCTTCTTTGATAGTGAGGAAAGCTAGAAGCCAAAAATCAAGGCGTCATTGGAGCCATGTTTTTCTAGTTCCTCGTGATTACCAGCAATCCTTAACATTTTGTGGCTTACAGCTATGTAACTCCTCCTTTGCCTCTATAATGATAGTTCTCTTTCATCTGTGTGTCTCACATAACTTTCTCCTCTGTATCTCTTCTCTTAAAAATACAGTAATCATACTGGATTAATATACCTTACTCCATACTAGATTAATATACCATACTGGATTAATAATAAACCTTACTCCACCATAAATTCATCTTAAACTGATTACACTTGCAAAGATCCTGTTTCCAAATAAGGTCAAATTTGCAAGGAGCACAGGTTAGGATCTCTGTCTTTTGGGGGAACATAGACCTACCCTTAACACGCAGCACTGTAGACTATGAATGGGAGAAAAAGCACATGCAAAGGTACAAATATCAGTTACCACTGCAGCCTTAGGCAGGGGAAGATGTCTGTATCAGGAATTAAAAAACACAGACATATTCCACCAAGAAATAACATCATGAAATTGAATTCTCCTGGCCTTGAGTTTTGTTTCTGACCCTCACTCTGAAAACCAATAAAGACACATTTTTTTGTTTGTTATTGTAAATATAACCCTCCAGCTTTTTTATTGTATCAGTAAGATTAACCTGTACTCATGAGGAATATGTTAGGAAGTCAAAACTCCTTTACAACTAATAAATACACAGTTATGGAGAAAGCAATATACATTTATCTAAAGTGGAGAGTAAGAGGGAAATAAATTCCAGCTGGAGTCAACAGGAAAGGATCCTAAAGACAATTATTTTATCTTGCCCTTTAAAAATAGATGACACACTAATGAATGAATTAAATGAAGACCAGTATCAGTGTTCATGGAATGGAAAACTCAATGCTTTTTTAAGATATTGCTAATATGGGGCTGGGGATTTAGCTCAGCAGCATAAGAACCTGCCTTGCAAGCAGGCAGTTGTGAGTTCGATCCCAGGTACCGATAAAAAAAAAAGATATTGCTAATATAACAATATTGTTAAGATATTATCCCTAAACTGAGCAATAGATTCAACACAAATCCAATTGTGGGATTTTTTTTTTAATAGGAATGAACAAGCTGTTCTAAAATACGTATTCAAAGGCAATAGAAATGGAAAAGCCAAGAAAGTTTAAAACATAAACTAAGTTGCAGGACTCAAAATACTTGGTTCCTTTTTTTCTTTTTCTTCTTATTACGTTCCCAGTACATAATGATCATATTGATTGTAGGCACTTGGTACATGTACATAGCATATCTTAATTCTTTTTATTTCTCCTAAACTGCTTGATTTCAAGATTTGAAAATCCACAACAACAAAATCAGTATTGTATTGCTTTCTCCTATATCACAGCCTACAGGAACAGAACAGAAATACCAGAAATGGACCCTTATATACATGGTCAATTGATTTTTGACACAGATATAAGGACAGTTTGACAGGTAAAGGATAATTTTTCCTGCAAATGGTGCTGGAACAGTTTGGATCTGTATATCGGGGCGGGGAGAAGAACCTCTGTTCATACCTCAAACTGCAGAAAACTTAACTCAGTAACTTAGAGATCTAAATGTAAAAGCTAAAACTACAAAAAAATTTTAGAAGAAAATTTGGGCTAAGCAAAAAATTGTTAGAAATGATATGAAAAACAACTCTTAAAAGGAAAAAAATTGATGTTAGGCTTCAAAAAAATTACAAACTTGCTTTTCAGAAGCCACCGTTAAAAGAATGAAAGGAAGGAAATATTTGTACGTGGCATATCTCATCAAGAGTTTTTACTCCGGATATATAAGTAATTCTAAAAAATGTTTTAAAAACTCAAAAATAAGCAACTGTTTCAATTAGATCACCAGAGAAAATAAACCCGTGGCAGACAAGCACATAAAAAGATGTTATTGTTAGTAGTGAGGAAAGGCAAACCAAACAGATACTGCCCATTGAGGAGAGGTACACTTTTAAAGAAGCAGTATCAGGTGCTATCAGTATGGAGAGCAGCTGTGATTCTCATTTATTGGTTAGTGAAATGCAAATTCTGTAGCCACTTTAGAAAACAGTTTGACTATTTCTTATAAACTTATCTGTACACTTTATAACAAAACAGTTTTAGTTCTGGGTACTTAACCCAAGTTAAATAAAACCTGTTTTCACCAAAATTTCATCTGTACATGTTCTTAGTGGCTTTAGTTAGAATCGTCAAAAAATGAAAACAACTCAGATATCTCTCAATGGGGATGGGTAAACATCTGTGTAAGGATTAGGCTACTGATAGAGCATTGATTAATATCAAATATGTTAAATGGAGTTAAACCAGACTCAAAAATGTATATGCCAGTTTTTATTTAAATTAAGTAGGATTAAATTTTTGCGTTGTTGGTAGTGACCGGGCATGCAGGTTCTTTGGAAATACCCTGCTGCAGAGAGTTTCAGAGCTAGACATAAGGTCTGAAGTAGAGATAGGATGGAACACAGGATGCTGAATGTTAGTTGGAGAAGAGTACTTTGAGCTGTAGTATATGGGAGGTAGTCCCATGTGTTGTGAATTAGGGAAACGTTTGTGGAGTTGACTGTTACAGGACTAGTTTAGTATAGATGGTGTAATGAATGCTAAAAGCAGTTACCTAGCAGCACTGAGGACCAGCTTAAGTTGAACAGAGAATTTCAGACAGGCCCAGTCTCTGTGGTTTCCTGACTTTGTTTACTGCCTTCCATATCAGAAGATCTTCTTCTAAACAGAAGAAGCAAAAGGCAGGGTTTATTCCCTAGGCAGGCTGACCAGGGCCAAAGATTAAAGAGGGAAGAAGTTACTCAGGGATAGAGAAGACCATGGAAACAGCTGAGCCACAAGGGGGATGGGCGCTTCCTCAGTCACTGCCATTCGACTTGCCTTAACAGTGTGCATTCTTTTCTCTTTCAAAGAAATAGCCTTGTGGCCTTTAGAAGGTTCTCTTAAGAAGGTAAAGAAGACAGTGGAAACAAGCCTCCTGAGTTGTTCTGGCCCTAAATGGCGGCAGAATCAAGTAAGCCTTCATCAGCCTCATCTCCACAAGACCAGACTCCTGAGGAGGACCTAATCATTATTAAAGTAGAAGAGGATCATGGGTGGGAACAGGAGTCTAGCCTGCATGAGAATAACTCTCCTGGCCAAGAACTCTTCCGCCTACGCTTCAGGCAGCTGTGTTACCAGGAGACGCTGGGACCTCGAGAGGCCATGATCCAACTCCGGGCACTTTGCCACCAGTGGCTGAGGCCAGATTTGAACAGCAAGGAGCAGATAATGGAGCTGCTGGTGCTGGAGCAGTTCCTGACCATCCTGCCCAAAGACCTGCAGGCCCTCATTAAGGATCATCAGTTGGAGAATGGAGAGGAGGTGGTGACCCTGTTGGAGGATTTGGAGAGGCAGATTGACGTTCTAGGACGACAAGTGAGTAGGAGTGATGCATGCTGATTGGGAGTGGCCTGGCAGAGGAATATTGGCCTCCTGGGAGAGAGTAAGTGCTGGGCACTGGTGTCCTTGGGATGAAGACAGAAATAGTTATCATGTAGTGTGTCCCATACTTGTAGATTCCTTTTAACTTTGGTAAAGGCTACCATTCATTTTTTAATCATCATATCCCTATAACTGTATTTGTTACTGTTTGCCAGATGGCAACCTGATATATGGGAAGTTTAAATGATTTTTTCAGGGATACCCAAAAAACCAAAAGTAGATCTGAGACTAGAATTCGGTCTCCCTAGATCAATGATGGCAAACCTTTTAGGGCTTTCCATGATGACAACACCTGCCTATGACACATGTGCTATACGTTTCCCTAGATCCTTATCTAGGTTTCCCTAGATCCTTTTCGGTGTCCTATGGCCCTGTTTTAAGTCTTTGTTTATCCTTTTCCTTCCCCCACCCTGTGGCTCAGAAGCACAAAATATTAGTGCTTCTTGTAGACATCAGCAGAAACTTTTTCCTTTAGTCCTGAGCAGAAATGATACTTTTCTTTCCGTGGTCACCAAAATACTTATGTCCTTTGTGTCCCTGGGAGTAATTGAGATTCACTTCCTTCCCCTAGTGTGGGCCCCTGTAGTTGGGCTGTGGGTCTTAACATTGCTCCCTGCATCACTGAAAGAAACTCCTGGTAATTCAGCAGCCCCATTGTTTCTAGGTCCCAGCTCATGTACAGAAGCATCGGGTACTCTGGGAGGAGCTGACGCCTTCACAACCTGCAACAGAGCCTCCAAGTACTCCACTCCAACCTGTGGTGGCCGGGTGTAAATCTCCAGTGCTCCAGGAGAAAGGTAAGGAGGCAGAGTTCATTCACAAGGATGAAAAAGTAGAAAGAAAGGTACATTTCAGGATGCGTGTCAGGTTCCTAACCAGAAAAGATGAGTCTAGTCATACTTTACCCTTTGTCCCAGTAATGTTTCTTGTGTTCCACGTGCAGTCCAAGATCATTAGTTCAGTTCATTGTAACTCTCCTTTACTTTGGCATAGTTCCTAAGTTGTCGTTTTCAAGATCTTAACAGTCTTGATAAATACTGGTTAGTTATGTTGTAGAATGGCTATAATTTGACTTTGTTTCATGTTTTCTCACATTTAGAGTCACACTGTATGTATTTGACAGACTGCTCCAAAAGTGATATTGTATCTTCCTTAGAGGTACAAGACAAAAAATTTGTCTTATTATTGGCAATACTGTCTTCAATGAATTGGTTAAGGTTATTCTTGCTAATAGTCCACTGTTTTTCCCTTTGTAATTAATAATTTGTGGGGAGATATTCTTGATATTCTATGTAATATCCTTGATATTCTATGTAAATATCCTAGTACCTATTAACTTTTGATGCTAGAACACTAGTTTCAATATTCATTGGTGATTCTTCACTGAGTCCATGATTACTAAGCCAGTTACAAAACAGTAATGTTCTTGTTCTGTGATTCTTTGTACATATATTTGTTGTTTGCTCTAAAGAAAAGTATGTTCCCCCTTTATTAATAGTCTTTTGTCCCATAGATATTTTATTACTGTCTTCATTTTGATGCTTAAATCACCTCAGACTTGGACAGAGGAAGTCCCTTATGTCAGGCTTCTGTGTCCTTTTGACATTTTCCTGTTATTTTTTTAAGAATTTCCTTAGTTTCTTACAGAACAAGATGTTCCAGGCTCATATTCTCCTGCATTTTGTATTTTTTTCACTTATGTAGGTTATAAATTGTTAATATTTCTGAAGAAGTATAGAAATACTCTGAATTAATAATAAATTCTTGTCTGAAGTCTTAAGCTTGTTTCCCAAGACATAATAAATATTTGTCTTAGTTACTTTTTACTCGTTGCTGAGACAAAATACCTGAAGCCCAAGTTGGGAAAGGAAAGTTTTATTTCTTACAGTTTTTGGAGGTTTCAGTCTGCACTCACTTGGCTCCAAGGCAGGCGGGCATGGCTGGGCCGCAGTTCATGGCGGCTGCCAACAGCAAACAGGAACCAGCAAAGAGCCAGACACACCTTCTTCCTGCCATTACATCACATCCTGGCTCCACCCCTTTGTGGGTGGAGCACTGAAACCATCAATCCAAGCACTAGACAATGAACCAATCACAAATACACAATGCAAACTCATGAGGCCTGGGGGACACAGACATAAACCATGACAATAGTCTATGTTGATTTTCGTAATTAGGCACCTGATAGCCTTAGGAAACAGATCCTGGCAATCATGGTAGGCATATAAGAAAGGTAATTGAGTTTGGAGTGACAGATTGATTTTCGTGTTCAGTTTACTAGGTGATCAGGACCTAAACAAACACAATATATGCGCACAAAGATAGTTTTGGTGATAGAGAAGAATTGAAAAACAACTCCTGCAAGGAAATCCATATACTTTGTATTATCGAGTATCATTTCAGGCTAAGCCTAAGGACACCAAAATGCAGATGTTTCATGGGCAGCCATAGGTATGGGCCCAGAGTCCAAGATATCAACCCTTTATATGGAAATTTTTGGACACATATGTCTGCTGAAATACACATAGTTTGGAATGGATGAGTGCTGGCTGCCACAGCTACAGACAAGTCTTGTCTCATTCATAGTTCCTTTCTCCCTTCAGCCATTTCTACATCTCAGAGTTCCTCCCTTTCCCAGAAAGGAAGTTCTGAAGACCAGAAGATGACGGTCACACCTCGCGATGCAGAGTTCCAGGCAAGTTGTGCACGTCTTACTAAAACACCACAGCTCTGGTGTTCCTAGTGTCTACACTGTATCTGAACCATCTGTCGTAATATCTGTTGAAGTTTGCCTCACATTCTTAAACTTTTTTTTTTCTTTTTTGGTACTGGGGATCAAACTCACAGTCTCACACTTAGCAGGGAGGCAGTTATGCCAGTGAGCTAAATCCCCAGCCCTACCTCACATTCTTTTGCTTGGTGACAGATTGATCCTTTTTTTTCACTCAATAAATCTAGTGATTTTTCTTCTTTTTCCAGTTACTTAGATCCCTTTCCACACTAAATTCCTATCTCTTAATGCTCTCCTAACACTGGTAGGCCTCTCTGACATTATGGAATACTTCAGACCCCAAAGGAGGATTTTGTTTTGTTTCAGACTTTGGAGAAGACTGAAGATGTGGCTGTATCCATTGTTCAAGAGAAGTGGATTCTTGATCCTGTGAAGAAGAGTCTGAGTATAGATAACAGGCCAGAGAATTGTGGGCACGTGGTCTCGCTGGGTAAGGAAGCTGTGATGATGGTTACACTGAAGATTTCATCGTTTCTTTGTTAGCTATATAGTAGCTCTGAGCTTTCTGGAGGATACAAAATTAAACTCCAGCTCCAACAGAGGGTTATAAGGTTGAGACTTTTCAAGGTGTAAACTGAAACCTTTGTTCTCCAAGCCAGGAATTCCTCACAGTTTGCACCTGGGCATTGTTCTGTTTGCCAGTTGGAAATTTATTGTAATCCTTCACATTATCTCCTACAGAAATTAGCATCTTTCTAGCACTCTCTGGGTTCACACATTTCTTCTCCTAGTTCCCATTGGATCTTTATAGGATTTTCTCTCTTAAATTTACTGTGCTTCCTCCCTGTCTGTGACTGTGCTGTGTATTCGCCCATTTCTGCCCCACTCATTGGATCTCTTAGTATTCCCTGGTCCTCCCCACATCCCATCTTCCGCTGCTCTTCAGCTGGTCCCTTCCCGAACTTCACTCCCCCTTAGTAACTCCTTTTCCATGGCCCCTCTTCCCCTGTTGGCCTGTGGTATTTCTCTTTTTATCCCAGCCTAGAACTGCCTGTTATGAAGGTACTTTGGGACAGAGTTTTGTTTCTGCTTTTAGACTGTGTTCTTTAGACTGTGTTCCATGTACTTTAGACTGTGTTCCTTTTTCTTAGCATATCCAACAGGAAGCTACGCTGGCTCGATGTTTACTTATTACATGTTTGTTTCAGGTGGTGAGACCAGTAATGAGAACAAGGAATTAGCTTCAAAACAGGTAATATCTGCTGAAATCCAACCCCATGGAGAGACAGCTGCCAGATGCAACGGGGATGTTATCAGGGTTCTGGAGCGTGGAGAAGCCCAGGACCTTCTGGGCAGATTAGAGAGGCAGCGGGGAAATCCCACCCAAGAAAGACGACATAAATGTGATGAATGTGGGAAAACCTTTGCTCAGAGCTCAGGCCTTGTTCGACACTGGAGGATCCACACTGGGGAAAAACCCTATCAGTGTAACGTATGTAGTAAAGCCTTCAGTTACAGGTCAGCCCTGCTTTCCCATCAGGATATCCACAACAAGGTAAAACGATACCACTGTAAGGAGTGTGGTAAGGCCTTCAGCCAGAACACAGGCCTGATCCTGCACCAGAGGATCCACACTGGAGAGAAGCCATATCAGTGCAACCAGTGTGGGAAGGCGTTCAGCCAGAGTGCAGGCCTTATTCTGCACCAGCGAATCCACAGTGGGGAGAGACCCTATGAATGCAGTGAGTGTGGGAAGGCGTTCAGCCATAGCTCGCACCTCATTGGACACCAGAGGATCCACACTGGGGAGAAGCCCTATGAGTGTGATGAGTGTGGCAAAACCTTCAGGCGGAGCTCACATCTTATTGGCCATCAGAGAAGCCACACAGGAGAGAAACCCTACAAGTGCAATGAGTGTGGGAGGGCCTTCAGTCAGAAGTCAGGCCTCATTGAACACCAGAGAATCCACACTGGAGAAAGACCCTATAAATGTAAAGAGTGTGGGAAAGCTTTCAATGGGAACACTGGGCTCATTCAGCATCTGAGAATCCACACAGGGGAGAAGCCCTATCAATGCAATGAGTGTGGGAAGGCCTTTATTCAGAGGTCCAGTCTTATTCGACATCAGCGAATCCACAGTGGAGAAAAATCTGAATCCATAGGAGTTTAGGGAATAGCCTTAATAACAGTTTGAGCATTATGCAGCATGAAAACCATACACTGGTGAAGTCTTTCAGTAGTTAAATAAAAAGGCAAGAACAAAGCTGACATCATGTAGTGGCAACTCTAGAAATGGCAGGGTTAGAATAGCTCTTTAGTAGGTTGGGCCCGGTATAAGACCCAGGTGGATTAGCTTGGCTTCTTTGGAGCTCTGATGGAGGAGAGTTTCCAACAGCCTACCACATCCCTTAGAAACTTAAAATAGCACTAGAGCAAGTTGCTTATCATGGCTTGAAACACTGAACTTTGAGTAGCTGTAGGTTTGAGAGGCTGCTGTTCCCAGCTCATCTGCTTCTTCCCATCCCCTGTGATGCCTTCTCCCATTATTCCCCTGAAGGTACCCTCATGCTCCTCATCTGAGAAGCTGCTGTAGTGTCCTGGGCAGCCCCGCTGTGAGACTTACTTGTAGTTAGCTTTCTAAGAGTCTAGTTCTAGGGAAGTTTTCACAGTCACAGTTTGTATATGCTTAAGTGTTTCACTTTTTATTCTAATGTTCCTTCTAGTTGGTGGAAATCCACATGCCCATGCAGACCCAGAATGCTATATTTTTAACAGCACTTCAGCATTTTGCTTCATTTATCACGTTACTGACTCCACTGAGTCACTGAGCATCTGTGTGTATCCTTCACCACCCTCATCCCAGTACCTGTGTCAGCAAAGGAAGTGGACACATTAGTGATGGTTGTGGGAATGATGCAGAGAAAGGTGAGTGGAGACTCAACCTGGCTGCTCTTGAGCATGGACATTTGTCCTTTGTGGTGACCTCTGTCCTTCCATTTCTCCACTGTACACTGGGATACAAAGAGTGTTTTCACTCTCCTAATTATGTCATCCTGTGGGACAGAGAGTAGGCAGGGTCATAAAGGAGTCGTAAGAATCCATTCCAAAACACTTACAGCATCCCTTTGGCCTGTTACATGCTGCTATCTCAGGTGCCCATCCACCTGCACAAATGTCCTGACTAGACAGGCTCCCACAGCTGAGGTTGCCCTGGACCCACACCTCCTCAGACGGCTGCGGCTCCTCACACATCCCTCCATCAGTTCCTTGCCATTCATTTGTACGATTTAATGCCCCTGTTGATCTATCAGATATCTTACCTCACAATTCCTCATCTTGAATTCTGGTACATTCCATCACTAGTCAGTGTTTGTAATCTACTAACAAGACATACTTATTAACTCTGCAATATGTAGGAAGAGTGTATAGCTCAGATCAGCTGTGACTTCAGGAACGTGAGCACCAGGCACTGTGTGTCATCTGTGAAGGCTTTGAGAATGATTTAAAACAACGTGCCGGATCTTATGAATTCAAAATAGAGTATCCTTTAAATTGGTCAGTACTACACATTCTCAAGTGCTATTTTTAAGTACTATCATTTAATGGTGCTGCTATTTCTCCAAATATATGGAACGTTCTTAGAAGTTCATTTAATCACATAAGAAAACCTTCTATTACTCCTAATTGAATTCCATTTTTGCCATTTGATTAGCCACTTATTCACTGAAGTAGGAATTGAATAACTTGTGCTTTCAAAACTTAACTCTCAAATTTGAAATTGTATTCAGGGTATTCAGAAGACCAATTATATAGGTTCTAATGAAGCCTCCAAGAGAAAGTACAGTTTCACACTGTTACTGTCCTGAAAAAGTATAAAAATCATGTTTTTCTGATCGATGTGTTAAAAATCAGTTATAAAATCTCACATCATGGGGCTGGGGTTTAGCTCAGCAGCATAAGCACCTGCCTTGCAAGCAGGCGGTCGTGAGTTCGATCCCCGGTACCGATAAAAATGAAAAAGACAAAAAAAAAAAAAAAACCTCACATTGGAGTCATCCTATGATTCACAATTTTCTCCGTAACATCTGTGTGCCCCTATGGCTCATCTTGATGAATAACAATGCTAGGATTATGAACACTTGTTTCATGAAGCCATTGGTATCTATTCTTCCCTTGTCATTTATCCTCTTGTTTTGTTTTTTCTTTTTTTCTTTCTTCACTTTTCTTTCTCTTCTGTGGTACTGGGAATTGATCCCAGGGCCTTGTGCGTGCTAGGCAAACGCCCTGCCACTGAGCTGTATCGCTAGCCCCTCTTCTTTTTTTGACATAGAGATTACCATTCCTAATTCCCTGTGTTTGAAATTTTCACAAAGCAGAAACAAGTAAATCTATTTGGTCCGGGTCCTCACCCTGTGTGTCAGTTGTGCCTTCCCCTCTGTGGTACTGATTCTGCCTAGGCCCACTGCTGCCCCTTGTGCAGCTGTCACATAGGATGGCTCCACTGTCAGAGGAAGATGCACGTGTAAGTGCACATGCATAGTACACACACACTCAAATACTTCAGATGAAACCTTCCCTTCGGTTCCAGTAAAAAGCTCTTAGCAGAGCAGCATTCCCTTTGGCAGCAGTTCTCAGAGTGATATACACCCAGGTTACTCAAATCTCAGAATTACTAAACTTTTTCAGAAGTTCAAGAAAGTAACATGATTAGAGAGATTCATATTACACTGAAGATCAATGTCAGTGAATGTGAGAGAAGACTGTCACTTGAAAGACTGAGTGTATGTATAGAAAAAGCCCAGTGATAAGACAGTAGAAACAGGCTGCAGGTACTTGGAGTGTATAAGCTGAAGTCGTTCTCTATAGTCACACTCTGTACTAAATTCATAAGATCTGGCAAGTTCTCCAAATGTTAGAAAACCATTCAGACTGTGTGATATTCTAAGCTCTTAATGGTGTAGCATCTATTCACTATTTTGCAGACTTCTCTATACTTTTACTCTGAAGTGAACTTTTCATTAGTATTTTTGGCTCATTCTCAGCTTCTTATTTTAGCACCTGACATGATAAGATGGTTCGTCCATAACTCTGCTGCCATCCAACAGTCCCTGGAGAGGCACCGTAGGTTTCAGAGATCTTCTCTGTGAGGCAGGGTGGCATGGGAGAATTTGGTGCCTTATTAGGTAGCAGTTTAGGTTTACTCTTGGTTCATTCCAAGTCTCTAGGTAATGATAGCTGCCAAACCCTATGTGAAGCATTCCCTGCTCCTGATGGATACATTAAGGCTCTGCCCTCCTGTCCTGACTGGAGAGCCTGTGCTTCTGACCACTGTTCTGCTACCTACAGTGAACACTTAACAATGGCCAGCCATTTAGGGAGCACATAAACTTGGTTATGAGACACTGAGTAAATAACACACTGTATAGTGCAAATCCATTGCAATTACTTGAAAATAGCATTTGAGATTATATCATCTTTAAATATTGATACTTTTGATGAATACTAGGAAACTGAGTTACAAAAGTAAAACACGTAAAAGTAACTGGGAGGATGCAGCAGTGATAACTTACAGATTCAGATACATTTCCTCTAAACTGCCTACGGAAAAGTAGAATTGTAGAGGGAAAAAGTTACCCGTGTCCTAGGCTGGGCAGATGGACAGTGAGGATGGCACAAATGTGGGAACTTCCCGCCTTACCACCCATTTCCAGCTGCCATGCTAGTTTTCCTCAGACATTGCCGGCTCAAACGTCATCCATTGTTAACCAGTTTTTCCTTAATTTAGTCTCAACATTTCTCATTTTTTTACTCACCATTCCATTGAAATAGCCTCTGGATCCCATTGTATAAGTATTAAGACTTTTTAAAAGTTTGTGTTCTTCTTAATCTCATGTATATCTCTTATTGTTGACTTTTTGCCCAGTTTTGGGAATTCTCTTCTCCTTTGGCTCACGGGATCCTTTTTCTTCAATATTTGGCTTTTTTTTTTTTTTTAGTTTAGTTTTTTTGTTTTGTTTTGTTTTTTTGTTTTTTAAGTTTTTTTTTCCTGCTCGTCACTGAAAAATATACCTGTATCTTATTTTTCTCACTACTTTTTCTATCTTTGTTTATCCATATTGCTTATACATTTGAATGACTTCATATTTCCTATGCTAATATCTCATGATTGTGGTATTTTCCACACATATGTACACAAGTTGGTATTGAAAACGAAACTCATCACTCTCTTGCTCTAATTGTCACTTTCTTTTTATTTTTGCAGTATCAGGGATGAACCCAGGGCCTTGACATTGAGCTACAGCCTTTTTTATTTTAAAACAGGGTATCACTAAATTGCCTGTATTTTCCTCAAACTTGTGACCCTCCTGCCTCAGTCTCCTAGCGTGATAACAGTATTAAAGTTACACATCACTGTCTCAGGCTCCCATATTCTTTTTAAATAGCATCATTGCTTAACCACTCTTCCCTGAAAGACTCACCACCTTTTATTTTTATCCCAGCCTTAAAGATACACTATCGTCTTTGACTGCAGCTCTCCTTGTCCACAGTCTTGCTGTCAACCCAATTCTTGGTCTCCTTACGCCTTAATCTTTGCCTTCTCTATGATTCCTTTACATCCTTCCATGCAGGTGCACATCACATAAAGTCCAGGTTAGTATAATTCTTTCTACTTTCCTTGCTCTCAGAATCCCTGTCTTGTATAAAACTTCAAAAGTGATGCTCCTCAAACTCCATTTTCATGCCTCCTTTCTACTCAATATTGAGCAGGTAATTCCTTTCAGGGCAGAGGTGTGCCAAGTTCTCGGTACCTTGTCCTCTGTGCCTAACCGCTTCCGCCTCATTACTGTTCAGCATGTTCACCTTGACTTAGCACATGCAAACTTCCTTCAGCCTTCTACTGCTGTCTTACAGCCCTTGCCTCTGTGCCTTTCTTGTGGTATTGTGTTTGTTTGCTGTTTGGCCCCAGCTCGTGTTCATTACTCCCTCCAAACCCGTCTTTGTTCATGACTTCTGAGTGACCCCTCTGTCGCACTGCACCGCACACTGACGCCTTCCTTGCTCTTGTGCTGCCTCAGCACTTCTGCAGTTTGAGCTGTGATCCATGCACTTACTGATACGTTGCTCTGCAGTTATTTTCTAGATCGTAGTTCTACATTTGTATTTATTTCCAGAATTAAATTGTAAGCTCCTTGAGGGCAGGAATATTTCACATTTGTATTATTGCACCCCTTAGTGCTTAGTACAGTGCTGAGCACATACTAGGCATTTAATAAATGCTTGTTGAATTATTGTGTGGATTATTTGTGGTGTTATCTGTACACATCTTTAAGCAGCATTCAATGATGTGGCTTTACTACTTTGTGTGATTAAGTATAGACCTATTTCTGTAGAATATATAGCACTAGTACATGGGAATCTGACTATCCCTTAAGAGTAAAGCAAAAAAATCCAACTCGAAGGATATCTGTCAAAAGTTGAAATCTGAAGCTCTGCTTGGCCAGACTTGTTTATGAATAAAGAAGAAAAAACACTGAAGACAGTTGTGTAAAGGTTATAATGACAAAAGTGCTTGAGAATAATAGGCTTTTATATCTGAGGTTAGGTCAGTAGTTATCACTAGGAGAAATTTAGCAGTATGTAGAGACACCATTGGTTGCACCACTGTTGGACAGCTGACAGTCATCTAGTAGATAAGAGGCCAGGATGCTACTGAACAACCTGCATTCATAGCACAGTAATGAGTTTTCTGGCCCAAAATATTTAAAATGCTCTAGATACATTTAAGTCAAATGGAAGAAATATGAAAGACTTGCATTATAATTAAGATATGTCCTGTTTTAAGGAACTCTTGTAAGTGTATTTTGTGGTTTCTAAGATTATTAAGAAGCCTTACTGTTTGGAGTTCACAGAAACATATGTATTAGTGTCTTGACAAACGATTGATAATGCTGTTTTTCTTAATGTCCAAGTAAATTTATTAGAAAAGTTATAAAATATCTCTTATCATGCCTTAAGAAATTAAGACAGAATAAAACCAAAAATGTAGAATAAACTAATAAAGATCAGAACACCCAAGTAAATTTATTAGAAGTTATAAAATATCCTATCTTAAGAAATTAAAAGAATAAAAAAAATAAACTAATAAAGATCAGAAAACAATCCTTTATCAAAATGCTAACATTTTTCATAAAGATTAACATTTTGATTCTTACATTTTTGTAAAAATACAAAAGACTTAGAATAGTCTAAATAACTTTGATAAGGGAACAAAATTAGAGCTCCAGCTCTCCCTGATCCCAGGACTTATCACAAAGTTATACCCATCATGACAAAACGGCATTGATACCAAGATAGACAAACCACCAAGGTACTAATATGAAGTCCCAAAATAGATACCTACATAACAATTGATTTCTGTGAAAGATGCAAAAGCAATTAAGTGGAGAAAGGGTTGTGTCTTCAATAAATATACTGGAACAACTGGATATCCCTATGTAAAAAACCCAAACTTTATAGCACAAAAATTCCTAAGACATCCAAAAGTCAACTCAGAATGGCTCACAGTGGTTTAAAGTAAAGGCAGGTGTTGCCTGAGTCACTGCTTTGGCTGAAGTCATTCTCTCTGGGACAAAATACATGTTTTTTTTCTTTCAGCTGGTCACTAATGAAACTATGATATTTATACATGCATGACACTTACTTTACTAATATGTTCTCAAGGTACATCCATTTATCTATAAAAATGTCCAGTTTGTCATTCTTTGTGGGTGAGTAGTATTCCATCATATAGAAGTACCACATCTTTTTTATCTATTCTGCAGTTGATGGGCATTTAGGTTATTTCTAAGACCGGGCTATTATAAACTGTGCTGCTATAAACATGAGTGCACATGTATACCTGTGGTATGATATTTTTAATTCTTGTAAGAAGATACCCAGAAGGGGAATAGCTGGGTTGAATGAGACCTCCAATCTTAGTGTTTTGAGAAATCTCCACACTGGTTTCCACAGTGGTTGCACCAGTCAGCACTGCTACCAACAATGGAGAAGTGTTCCTTTTCCCACAGCCCCTCCAGCATTTGTTACTGATTTAATAGTAGCCATTCTTTCTGGGGTGAGGTGAAATCTCAATGTTGTTTTAATTTGCATCTCTCCAATGACCAATGCTGTTGAACATTTTTTCTCAAATTTATTTGCTGTTTGTACTTCTTCATCTGAGAAGTGTGTGTTCATCTCAGATGCCCATTTTTTGGATTATGATGCTATTTTAAAGTTGACTTAGTAACTTAATATGGGATACATTGTTACATTTCCTTACATGTAAACTATGTGTAATGATCAGGTAAGAATAACTGACAAAGCTATCCCCTCAGACATTACTTTTTGTATTGGGACATTCAAACTTCTCTACTAGCTCTTTTGAATTGGTGTAGTTATCCTACTGTGCTTTATAACATAAGTCATCCCAGGGCTAGAGTTGTAGCCCAGTGAGAGAGTATTTGTCTAGCATGCATAAAGCTCCAGGTTCAACCCCAGCACAAGAAGAAAAGAAAGTTATTCCTCCTAGCCAGGCACACTCCTGTGCCCATTTGATGATTTTCTTAGTGCTTTCCTAATGTCAGCTTTGTCACAGTCCCAGTGGCATTTGTTGCAGTACAAATCTAGTTGTTGCCTTCTACATCTTGGCTCATGACCACAGCCTCAAAACATGATGTGGCCGGGTGGAGTGGTATTCTCTCTTCAGCAGTGGGAGCTCAGCTTATCAGTAGAGACCCTGAATGGTCCCCTTGGGTAGCTACCAGACAGCAGTAATAGTAACTCCAAGAAAACCACAAATCAAAATGTTTGCCCATTAAGTTTAACACCCTGTGGTTTAACCCAGTGAGGACATGAATTAGAGGAAGTGTGATTCCCTAAATTAAAAACCAGGCTAATACAAGAGTAGTAAATATGCTATTCTCCACCTGAGGATCTGTGGCACTTCAACAGCTTTAGAAAGACTGGATTCCTGTGTCACTTCCTGCGCTGCTCTCAAAGTTCCAGGAGAAAGGTCAGCAAGACAATTGAGAAAGACAATATACAGAAAGCTGAGGTCAGACGAAGCCCTCTCTCCTGAGGGAGGAAAGGAACCGTTGATCACTGTGGGAGACAACTCCAGTGTCTCCCTTTGAATCCAAAACAATTACTGTGACTTTGAATATTTGGAGACTCATTTCCTTATACTGATATTGTTATAACTCAGGCCCTGGTATAAAATCCAAGGAAGCAAGAGACCAAAAATTTAGGTGGCAAAGGCTTTATTTCCAGGCCTGGCGACCAGTCTCCGGGAGCCAATTTGGAGACTGTGTCCCAGAGACTGAAGGGAGGACTTTAAAAAGAGGCTGGAGGAAAAGGGTGGGGGGAGAAACAAAGAAACCTGCAGAGCCATCAAACTTGTTGACCCGAGTCTGGAAACTGTATTGCTGTCCACTTAGCTCTGACAATCTCGGGAGTTCCTGGTGTTTCTCAAATTACTCCCATCTTACAGACTGACATTATCTTGGAGTGGCACATCTGCAGCAATATTTGGAGAAGAAAGTGGACAGTTAATTATCCCAGGACAGCTCGTTTTTGCTAGTGGGTGTGAAGGGGTCAAGAGTTACAAGAAGCTGAAACTTAAGTTTTACAAAGATCTGATATCTAACTCATTTGATGCATACACAACAAAAGGAAAGCACCGATTGGGGTTTGGGCCATAGTATTTCCCGGTAATTTCTTTGAAGCTAAACAGTTCTTAAAATTGGGGCAGGCTCATTTTATGACAGATCATCACCGGGTCAGGAAGAGGTCACCAGAAACCCAAATTCTTTATGGCCTAGATAGATAGGTGAGGGGAGAGGGAGGCAATAAGGCCCCATACAGAACAGAAAACTGCAGTTATGTGTCAAAGTCAGGTAAAGGGTTAAACTCATACACAAATCTCTCTGCACACAAGCAAGTTATTTCAAACAAGTGTAAATTAGTGGGCCATCCTAGTTTTCTTTAGCTCTTTAGCAGAGAATAGAGGCGCCTAACAGTGATTAACAACCCTTGTTAGCTTGTTTTAGCACAACTTCTGTAGTTTGTAGAGGGCAACAATGGTTAACATATCAATTAGGTGAGATTCTTGTAATTCTTTACAGAGGGGAGTATTGCTCAACATATCAGTTAGGTCACTTAACATATTAGTTAGGGGAAAAGGATAAAACAAACACATTTAGTAAGCCACGTTGCAGGTTTGCTATAATACACAAAATAATGAAGGGAGTGCAACATTTTCTTAGAGTACAACAATATGTAAAAAGGTGGCTAGGGTATCTCCTTCTCTTCAATTAACTGAGCATGGCAAACAAGGCTAGCCCAGGTGCTAATGTGCAGCCATCACAGACGTGAGAGACAACCCCAGTGACTCCCTTTGGATCCAAAACAATTACTGTGACTTTGATTACTTGGGGACTCATTTCCTTACAATGATATGTGAGAGGCTGGCTAGGGTATTTCCTTCTCTCTTCAATTGGCTCTAAGCATTGCAAATAAGGCTAGCTGAGGTGCTAATGTGCAAAATCTATAGCCATCAGTCCTGTTTCCTCGCATGGTTCTCTCCACAGGATTGAGCTGGTGAGATGTTAACAGCAAACAGCTCCAGGAATGTCAACTGGGTATGAGCCTCAAGATAAGAGGCTATGACTCCCCAGGGCAGAAGAGTTTGCATATCACAAACAGAAGTGATAGCCCCCCAAAACAATACCACTGTTACCTTAATTGGGTTATATAAATTGATCTTTCTGCATATCTTTATCTTACAAATTACAGAGATGCCATCCTTGCACCTGGCCAGCCAGCTCAAGTTATTCAATAATCCTGGACATTCTCACTATGTCTCACCCCTGAGCAACCCCCCCCCCTCTTTCTTCACAAGATAATAAATGCTGGGAGAGGCCTCGGACCGAGAACTTTGTCCACATGTCCTCACTAGAAATGGATTTAGGACCCCTTGGCTGCCCTTAACTTGGGATATGTCTTGGTGTCTTTACTCTCGCTGTGGGTTGCATTGGTGGTGGTAGATTGGAATTGATCGGCTGGGATTCCAATAACGTCTCAATGGGATTACAAATATAACTTTTTGCATTGAGAGGAAAACTAGAAAGAGGATTACAATACTTAGATGACTGAACTCGGTATTTGGGTTTACAATAACCACAATGTGTCTATTTATACATTTGTCATGTGGCACCCTTGTGCTCAACTAGCTGGCCCCTCAAGCTCAAGGT